ATAATGAAAGACATAATAATTTACGTAAGAAAGATTTTTTTAAGATATAATTTACGCAAGAAATAGGTACTATTTCTAAGGTCTAATATTTTCTTTAATCTATCTTTTATACCTGTCTAATGATATTTATATTGAAAATTAATTTTTTACTTTGAATTTGTTTCTCTTTAAAGAATAACATAAAAACTAAGAACTATTATCTATACATATAAAATTGTAACCAAGCCGAATCTGTACATTAAATATTGATTGGAAAATCTTATTGAAATAGACATTATTATCGATACAGAGGCCGAATCTATAGTTTTTAGAATTTTTGTCTGTCTGTCTGTTTGTCTGTCTGTCTGTCTGTCTGTCTGTCTTTTACCGCATCACGGAAAAACCACTGGACGGATTTTGATGAAATTTAGTATGATGATAGCTGGTTATCCGGGTCAACATATAGGATACTTTTTACCGCGTGAAAATATCTCATTTCTGAGATAAAATACAAAAACTGCAATGTAAGAGTACACTAATATGTAAACCCTAAGAGTTTGGTTTTTGGTCATCTGAACGCGAGCGGAGCCGCGGGCAATGCTAGTAATCAAATAAAAAACAACTACGTTATGTCTGCGCGATTGCTAATAGCTATTGTAGAAGTTTATAAACATTGTTAAATTTCAAAACAAAAATAAAACTCGCTTTCTTAAGGCTTATTTAGTGTAACTTAAACAAATGATCGAAATTTTTTATGACAAACAATACTCCAACGATACTTATATACCAATATAAACAGATGATTTAAAATATTTTTTTTATGATTTCCTCAGAAACAATTATAAACAATTATCCTACTAATATTATAAATGCGAAAGTTTGTGAGGATATCGGGATGTATAGATGTATGGATGTTTGTTACACTTTCACACAAAAACTACTGAGTGGATTTTAATGAAACTTACAATAATATAGCTCTTACATCAGAATAATACATGGGCTACTTTTCATTCCGGAAAAATGTACGTTCCCCGTGGGATAGATTTGTTTTTGTTTTTCTAGAGGCGAACCCGAGCGAAGCGAGGGTGAGACGCTAGTATAATAATATAATGTGATTTTTTATATAGAATATTTCTGCATTTGTATAATAAATAGGTACATGTAAAATTTTTGTACTTTAACGTATATCAAAAATATGCTTACAAAATATATGAAGGAAATAATTAAATTTATGGAAATCAATAAGTGAATTTAAAAAAAAACAAGATTTTACTTATCTAATATGTATTAAAATTTTAACAAATAAACATATGCTTGATTATATTATTGTTTTCGATTATAATGAAACCTCAAAAAATAGTATGGGAACCAGTTTCTGAAGACCAACGCAACTCGTTTTTATTTTACTCGTGATGTCACTGATTTTCTGTTATATGATATCGTTACTTGTTATCGTCGCTACTATCTACTAATCTATACATATCTATCTATACATATCTATCTATACATATCCATCTATACATATAATGAAATTGTACCTAAGCCGAATCTGTACATTAAATATTTTTTGGAAAATCTTATTGAAATAAACATTACTATCGTACAAAGGCCCAATCTATAGTTTTTAGAATTTTTTGTCTGTCTGTCTGTTACCGCATCACAAAAAACTACTGGAGAGATTTTAATGAAATTTGATATGGTGATAGCTGGTTGTCCGGGTCAACATAAAGGATACTTTTTACCGCGGGAAAATGTCTAATTTCTGAGAAAAAATACAAAAACTGCAATGTAAGAGTATACTAATATGTAAAACCTAAGAATTTGGTTTTTGGTCATTTGAACGCGGGTGGAGCCGCGGGCAGTGCTAGTATATAATAAAATTCTTACTGAGACAAATCTGTAAATTAATTTTTTTTTTGGAAAATCTTATTGAAATAGTCATTGTTATCGATACAGAAGCCGAATATATAGTTTTTAGAATTTTTGTGTGTCTATCTGGGAACGAACACGAGAAAACCACTGGACACACTTTAATAAAATTTGGTATGATGATAGCTGGCTATCCAGGTGAACATATAGGATTAGTCACGGTATATAAAAATATACTATTACTTTCAAAATAAAAGTACGGTTAACTCCAGAATACAATAACATATTATTATGTACTCAAACCCATATACTATAAAATCATTTACAATGACATTTGCAATTTCCATAATTCACAACGCCAGTGAAATAAGCAAATTTTCGGTCTCGAAACTACGTGTCGGTACTTCATTATTGTAATATTAATCGTCGCTATTATACTGTTATTTTCGCATATATACAAGTGTTCGCTTAGTGCTCGAAATTCAGCCTAAATCATTATTAAAAAAAATGAGGAAAACTATAATATAATATACATATATAAATGGAATTCACATGTCTTATAAAAAAGAACTAAATATTTCCAAAAAAAATTTTTTTGATGACATTAAAAGTCCGATTTTTTTGTTCAATAGGTATTGAACAAAAAAATCGGTTGATAAACAGTGGAGATTATGGTACTAAACAGTTTTGCCTTTGCCTATATATATTATACTAGCGACTCACCTTCGCTCCGCTCGGATTCATCTCTAGGTACGTTTTAACGGCTAATATACCTAGATTTCTCAGAGATGAGATATTTTCCCGCACTAAAAGTATTCTAAATGATGACCCAAACAACCAGCTAACACCATACCAAATTTCATCAAAATCTGTCCTGTGATTTTCTTGTGATGCGTTCCCAAACAAATAGACACACAGGGAGACAGACAAAAATCTAAAAACTATAGATTCGGCCTCTGTATTGATAATAATGACTATTTCAATAAGATTTTCGAAAAAAATATTTAATGTACAAATTCGACTCAAAATTTAATTATATGTATAGACTTTGAATGTTAAAGCTGTTTTTTGTTACTTTAAATTGTGATGATTCTAGAACAGCAGTCTTTTTGCACGTGGATATTATATAGTTAATTAAAAATTTTATATAAAAAAGGTATAAAAACTACATAATTGCGAGTTAAATTGGCACGACGGAGTGTTGTTATAAAACGTTCTTCGTTGAAAGAAAAGATACAATTCACTTTACTCTTTAATTTCTTAGTTTAAATTTTATAACATTACAATAATGAGCATTCTAAACAACATCATGTGACTGATGTTGAACGTGCAAAGGGGACCAGTCGACTTTAAAACTTTCTGTTCTTAATTTATTAATATATAAATAATAAATATCTTGAGACATTAACACACAGCACCATCTAAATAATACCAAGTTAAGGATACCTGATAGTTGATACACTACACACACACACAGACACATACATACATATATATGTATATATATAACTTTAAATAAATGTATGTATGTATTCAGCCTTTTTTAACGTCTCACTGCTGGGCCCGGGCCTCCCTTCAAAACTAGGTGGTTCAGGCCATAGTCCACCACGCTGGCCAAGTGCGGGTTGGCGGACTTCGATTTCACATGGTCATAGGTTCTCTCAGACATGCAGGTTTCGTCACGATGTTTTCCTTCACCGTAAGACAAGTGTTAATTATGTTAAAAATGATTTGCACAATAAAATATCAGAGGTGCGAGACCTGGGATTTGAACCCGCTTCACTCGGTTTTCCAAGCGAGCGCGTTACCACTGAGCTACCACTGCCTATATATTTATATGGAGTTCGAATGATATTACAATAACTGATAGCTTGGAAAAGATCTAATAGAGCCAGGAGGTGGATAGTGAAACTCTACAGTGGCTACTAGAAAACCTCATAGAATGGGCTCATATGATTCATTTTGATGAGTCCCATACATTTAAATTCATTGAAAGCGTATTTTATTATATAGTTTTTTAAAACTATAATTTTCATTTATTTCTTTATTATTCTTTATTTAGTAATATATAAAACTGATATAAGTACATATATAGCAACATAACACTTTTACTTTTACAAAATAAGTGGATAATATACATTGATTTTACGTAATTGATCTGATTCCAATCAGTATTTTTCCATCTTAAAGGGCTTTACAAATATACTGGACTATTAAATCTGAAGTGTTTATACACTTAAAGTAAACATGTTACTAAGGTAAATTATTAGATTTTTTAAAGAAGCATTACTTGATAATTTATTTTTTCTTGTTGTTTATTTTTATATTAAACACTAGTGGCTCACCCTCACTTCGCTCGGGTTCGTCCCTAGGTATGTTTTATATAGATATAACTAGCTATTAGCCAGCGTTAGTAAAAAAAAATTCGTGATTTTTTTTGATGTACGAACAGAGAACAGAGTAAAGGTACTCTGTTCCTGCGTCAATAAAGCAACAAGTGCAGAGCGAAGTCAGGTTATTTGTAGTTGTCTGTTTGTTTTTTATTTGTCTTTCTTTCACTAACACAACGGCTTCTTTCACGTCGAAACAGAGTGACGGATTGGCGTGATTTTTTATGTGAAGTAGTTCGAAGGCTGGAGAGTAACATAGGCTTTTACCGCGGAAGATTATCTCATTATTATCTCGAAAACAAAAACTATTCCATACTAACCATTAAAACGTAACGTAATACCGTCGAAACATACAATAATTATTTTAGTCGATTAGAAGTAAATATTTTTGTTTTAATAATATTATAGTAATACATATTTAAACACACTATTTAGTAATAATAAGCGATTTACCTAGACTATAATAAACAATAAAAGATGTACGTTGATCCATCCAATATGAAACAAAAGCCAATTATCTGCTATTACGTTTTATCATTATCTACGCTTAATTGATATCAAACAAATATATCGGACAAGTAAATATTAATGCAATTATTGTACTAGTATCTGTCACATTGAGGTTCATTGTGTTTAATTAAACATTGCTAGTAAGACTGTCGTTCACGATACAATAGATCGATGTAAAATGGATATAAGAGTAAATTAATAAATAAAGTTAGAGGAAATTAATAAGTAAAGTGTTAAATAAATCAAAATAAAATGGCGGAAAAACAAGGATCATCAAAAATAGAGGAAAAACCCTTAAATAAAGAGAAGGGACTCAAAAAATTTAAGGACAAAAATTTTACGGAAAAACTATGGCATATCAAAGATAATATAACTGTTGAACCATTGCTAGCTGGTCACATCATACCAAGTGTTATATCAAGATTTGCAATGGGAAATTTCAATCTTGATAAAGCATGCCGAGTCAATCTAAATTTTTCTTCCGAAATTTGTGAAGCTTTAGTGAGTAAGAGAAGTACTAACTATTCACATTATGAAAAAGAAGTTCAGACCTTGATATCATCAATAGATATTTGGAAGAGCATCCTACATACAGCTCTACCTTGTATGATTATTATGTTTTTGGGAGCATGGAGTGACAGGACTGGGAAAAGAAAGCTGTGTATTTTGCTTCCAATTGTCGGAGAAATTGCAACATCCATCAACAATTTGATCAACGTTTATTTCTTTTATGAGATTCCTGTGCAAGTAACTGTATTCTTAGAGACAATATTTCCAGCCATAACGGGGGGTTGGGTAACGATGTTTCTGGGTGTATTTAGCTACATTAGTGATATAACATCAGAACAGTCTCGAACCTTCAGGGTAGGTTTAGTAAACTTTTGTATGACAGCGGGACTACCAATTGGCATTGGAATGAGTGGAATCTTACTTAATAGGATGGGATACTATGGAATATTTTCAATGACCACTGTCCTCTTTTCCGTTATTCTATTATATGGCTGCATCTGTTTGAAGGAACCTGATGACTGGCTCAGAGACAAAGGTCTTCCTACGGTGAGTAAAATAACAAATTTATGTTGCATTTCATTTTAATTTTTGCCACAGACAATTTCACGTCATATTCGCCATAAAATAATTTTCATATGTATTTTACTTATCGTCTTAAGTTTACAAGCAATAGATCATTCATTATACTATGTAAATAATATAATAATGTAATTAATTTTACTTAAGAAATACTATCACGTGTGTTTATTTTATGCTAAGTATATAATATAAAATATAAACAATATTATTATGTTGTTGTTAATTTCCACACATGTTTTATTGGTGATATTAAACATTGAGATTAAAACTGTAAATTTTATAGTATCTGTAACTATTGTTCTCCGTAATTATGTTAGAATAGAATATATATTAGAATTAATACATATATTTTTAGATTTCATATATATGTAGGATATATATGTAGGTATTTTAATTCGTCCACATTGAAAGATCACTGTACGTTTTAAAGTTAAAAATTCCTCTGTTTTATCTCATTTCATCATAGCTTTATCAAATAGCTACTTGATTATTTCAAAAACACCAATTAATTCAATATCGTAAATAGTTAGATAAAAAATTATTGCCAATAGATAACAATATGGATATTTCCTTATGATATGAAATAAAACTTTAGTTCCACGTTAATTCAAAATAATATAAAATGACGTAAGCTTCAAATACCGGATAAAACTCTGCAAGTTTATTTCATTTATTTCATTTTAATTTTCCCCTTTAAACCTTACATTACCGATGAAGATACTGTCGACGCCAGATTTCCTAACGTCGACCCTATCGCCTTTAGCATAAGGCGCTTTATTATATTTATTATTTCGAGCCATATACTCAACCAATGAACTTACTGAAATACAACTTCGTCACTCACTACGTCAATTATACATCATCTAACAGTCTAACTCTACTTCTTGCATCCTTATTCTAATTCTACTTCTTGCACACGACACTTGCACTATACGAAGAAAAACCCATTGTGATTCTGTTAAGACATACTAACGTTTGAGAAGATATCCAATTTTTCTTTTGTTCTTCGCGAACAGATACTATTTACCAAAAACCAGTTTTATAAATTTAAACTTTTATAAAGTATGTATAGAGAGTAATGCAATAAGAATAATTAGAAAGAATCTAGTGACCCTGATAGTAGAAACATCCCTAGATACCATTTTGCTTACAGTAAAATAGAAGCCCTTTGGAAACATTTTGCTATTTGAAACAAGTTTAAATTAAAATAAAAGAAAGAGTACAATATGCCATTGAATTATAATGCTATATTTAAAAATACAGCTAGTTTTATTCATTAAACTTTTATACAACCTCATGGGAACCGCTACGTGTACTGAGATAAAAATACCATATGGTCATCAGTATGCAAGCAATCATACCGACAAGGTGCTTTGCTGCGTATCAGATAGACAATTTAATTCAACTATAAATGAATGACATTCAATAAAATATATCATAATCTAGCATTAAATTATGACAATTTTCACTGAATTCAACCAATATAATATTTGGATACCTTAATTTGCAAGTTGTCTAACCCTGTTTTACTATATTTGTCAGTAATTTATTAAAACATAATAGTTTTATTAATACGAATTTGGAAAAACTGAAAATCCCATTCTTGGATAATAATAACTTTAAATAATCTGCAAATGGAATTTTAATTTTTTACTGCCACCTGAAGAGTTAACTGAAATCAAAATTATCAACTTGCGTATTAAGATATCGTTTTGTAACATTAGTAACCATAAACTATTTAAAGAATATATAGACCGGAATGCGTTTAAGCATAGCACCTGTAAACATAGCACCTGTAAACATACAGGTGGTTAAGTGGTACTCAACGGCTTAAGAGAAGCCAGTACTACCCACTATAACCCAACAAAATCTCTCCCGTATTATTGGGGCGTCGCAGGATCGCTTGCGCACTCAACGAAGACCCCTACGGCAGGTCTGCCGAAGCAGATCACGACAACCATGGGGTTGCTCCAAGGGTCCACTCTGCTATCAAAGAAATACCAGGAGCAATCCGCATGCCTCACCGCCCACCAATGTGGGCCACCACCCAATATTTTTTTGGCTTCGCGCCCGGCTGAACTGCCGGACGCTAATGATTTTCGTTTAATTTTCTTAGCATAGTGTTTCGCTAACTCTTCCTTCTTCGTCATTAGACTTCTATGTTCCTAATATATTGTCAAACTGACGGACACACATACTTTTATATGAAGTACGGACTATTTCATTTCAAGTATGGGGTACTTCACATAGAAGGATGGGCGATATTAGCAATACAAAAGTCAAGTACGTAATCAAATGCAAAAGTCGATATTACTTAAACCCTTCTTCTGTTTTTTGGTAACAACAATAAATTATTTACTTTAACATTGGATAATTGAGATCTGTGCTAATAGAGGAAAATGATAAATAAATATTATTCATGCATTTCGTTTTGGGGATTCTACTAAAAGCAAACACAATTTTTAAGTCTCTGTGAATAATCTACTAGAAAAATTTCAATGCTCATGCAAAAATCTAGTAATATTAAGTTTTCTATGATAGTATACCAAGGTAAAGTACGCATTCATGGCAAAGTATCTCTTTCTTTTGGTATACATATAGCGCTCTGTACTATAATGGTTGGGTCTAGTGACTACATCTGGAAGTCCTGGGTTCGAGTCTAAGATCGGGCCAAGTATATTTATTCAGTTTTTCTGTTAGAATGTCATCTTGTAAAACCCTATTGATATCTTAATATATATATTTCTTGTGTGCGTGTGTATGTGACTGAACTCCTCCTAAACGACTGGACCGATTTTGATGAAATTTTTTGTGTGTGTTCAAGGGGATCTGGGAATGGTTTAGATTCACAATTGTACACGGTAGGTGGCGCTGCTGTCGGTGTGACAAAGGGTTTGTTTTTTTTAGTAGTTTGATCGCGGGCGAAGCCGCGGGTACAGCTAGTATGAATATAATTTTTATGTATACGTAAACCAAAATTAAATACGCATGCATGTACGCACTCACGAACGATTGGCCACGGTACGAATAATAACAATATGTCAAATGCAATCAGCGGTTATGTTGGCACTTATGCGGTTTTATTAACGGTGTTAGTACTTTAAACCGCGGTTTAACTACTGTATGCCTTTTTAGCAACTTGTCCAATTGTATGTTGAATACTCACAAATCTCTTCTGATTTACATTTATATATTATATATATATATGAATATTTGTATATGTGTATGTTTATTACTCCTTTACGATGGCTGGAGGGATTTAGATGAAATTTAGTACATATACAGACTTAAAAGCTGAAGTAGCACATAGACTACTGTTAGTAATAATAATTGCCAAAAGATGACGCTACCCGAGCATATTATAAACGCAAAATGCATATAGCAGATAAATTTCTAATCAAAAGTTAAACAGGTCTTAAAATTAACATATTTAAATTCGACGACAAGTTTGGCTCAGTTTGTAATGACCCTACTTGCTGCGCCAGCGGTCGCGGGTTCGAGTCCCGCTGGGGGCATTCATTTGTGTGATGAGCACGAATGTTTGTACTTCAGTCATGGATGTTTATATTTATAACATGTATGTAATTAAAGTTATATGTGTATAATGTATCAACTATCTGGTATCCATAACATAAGCCAAGATTACCATGGAACTAGATGGTGTTATATGTTAATGTCCTGACATATTTATATTTAGTTAATAATTTTCATTATAGTTGATCAAAACAGTCAATTTATATGCTCTTTCACTAAAGATTATATAATATGTATTTGATAATATAGTTATTATTTCAAGTTTAAAACTATAATATAAGTAAATATTATTATAGTTTGAACTTTGAATAATTCATTGTAAGACTTTTTACAGAATTCAAGATTCTAAATTCAATCCCGAAATATCGTTAGATTTTGTTTTATAATTAATCATTTAATCTGTATAACTTTTAATACTTTATTAGATTTACGAGTATAATTGACATGTTAAATTAAGTTAAATAAAGTAAATAAAATCGCGACAAAATCTTAAAAGATAATTTCATTTAAAATATGTCTATTTTCACCATAATATTAATATCTGACTACATTTATTATGTGTATCTCTTTTCTTTTATTGCAGATCCAACGAGACAGCAACAAGAACGTATCATTTTTTGATGTTTCCCACGTATCTGATACTATTGGAGTAGCGTTTAGAAAACGGTCTTCAAATCGTCGATCTAAAATTATACTGACTCTAATAGCTTTGTTCATTTTATTTGGCCCATCTATGTGTAAGTAAGAAATATTTTTATTAATTGTGCTTTTACCTTCCTTCGAGTCAACTTTTGAGATGAGTACCTACACCTACACTATCCGTCCCCCCTATTCTGTGGATTAACTTTTTTTAACAATATATTTTTTAACAGCAAAATTCACATTAATCAATAAAAAAATGTAATTAAAAAAAATTAAACCGATTAAAAAAAAATACTAATAAAAAGTAATAAATTAATGAACGCGGGGGGAGGGGAGGGGGGGGTTAGGTTTCATTTACTATAGATACCTAATCAGATATTAATAAGTCAATGCCAGCCGACAATTCTTTAAGATATGAATATCTAATAGGTAAATATGACAAGGTATGAATTCTTTTATAGTTAAAATATAATATATCCATTTATAATGAATTTATACGTATCGTCAATTATTATTATTAATACAAGTTATCGTTTCATATTAGCTAACTTGGTAAAGAAAAGGGTAAAGTATTTACCCTTATATCTTATCTCCAGATATAAATATCAGAATAAATAAAGGAGTTAGAGAGAGTTTACATATAATTAAGACATCGTCTCAGAAAATAAATAACGTTAAATATGATTAGTTTAAAGAAACACGTTTTATTAACCGACTTTCAAAAAGGAGGATGTTCTCAATTCGTCGGAATCTTTTTTTTATGTATGTTCACCGATTACTCGAAGGCGTTTGAACCGATTTTTTTGTTTCAAAGGGTCCCAGTTGGTCCTTTTTAAATTTTATTGAAATCGGTCCAGAGGTTTTTACAAAATCAACAATAATTTTTTTTTAATAAATTGCTTATTTGAATATGTTAATAAAAAACTTTCTTCTTACAAATTACCTGCTTATTAAGTCTACACTAAAAATGGAAAAATAAAAACTTTGAAAAAATAAAATGTTTTACCTACACAAGCAGTAAAAGTTGAAGCCGAAAAGAAAAAAAACATACATCCGATGTCCTTTTGTTTCACAATTCGTTTCAATTGTATCACAGCAATGATATTTCAACAGGTCTCGTATATACAAAACAATCTTTAACCAAATATCAAATATCATTGTGTATGAGCATCGAGGATAAATTCTTCTCGTAGAATATTTGTTTGACTTGCACTACTCACTGCGGAGGTCATAAATTCTAATTTTGCACAGAACATTTGTACTGACAACATAAATTTTAACCCAAGTCTCGTCCCATAAAGAATAACGTGAGATTGGTCCCTCAGTAACTTTTAGTAAAGTACATAGGACACTTGGTTCAAAAGAAGTCTTGGTTAAAAAGTCTCATCCCATGAAAATAACGTGTATTAATGAGTATTATATCCCATAATAAACATTTTACATGGGACCATAGGAAGCTTAATTAAAAATTAGCATATACCATTCTCCGGCCTATAAATTATATTTTCAGAGTTCTATACCAAATCACATCACCAGTCTTACATCAAATCGTTGTTTTTTTCCTGTCATGAAAAAGTATAGGATAAATAATTAATTATCTACGGGAATTGTGTATTGATAATTGATACGTACATAAATCAAAGATTTATTTATTTTTTAAAGAAATTAAATATGTGTCAAGCTAACTAGTGTCCTACAAACAGTTCGTTATCAGATAATCTTAATCGAGGCGATAAATATAAATTGTTCAAATATACTTGATCCATCTGTAAATAATAATAGGTATAATCAGGTAAGAAAGGGATAGATTGTACACTGATGTAGTAGGAATGAAATTAACAACTCTTTATCATTTTCAATAAAACTATCTTTTCGGATTATTTCGCGAATTTATTTTGATTAATTTTTGATAAACTTTTCGAATGCTTTACAGCAATCATGGTCACGGGAGAGACTAAGGTGTTAGATGTTTCAAAGGCATTATATAGTTATTACAGACAGCCTACCCACAAAATAACAAAATGAATTCAAAAAAATCAAAAATGGCACCAAAGTACCTTACAATATTTGTTAATCTAATTTTAAAACATTTTTTTTTTTATTTAATTTTGGCTGTTATTATTACAATTATTACAATATTTTAGAATTTTTTTAATTAGTAATCTATATTAAGTGTTGCCATTATTATATTTATAACCATAAAGAAAAAAGAAAATATTAATTATTTAAGCCACATAATTGTTCTATGTGTATTTTAAAAAGTTAGAATTAATTAAAAATAATAATTTTAATTTAATTTGTTATTATTTAAAAAAAGAGAAAAAAAAACAATTCATTAAACAACACTATTACTACATTTACAAATGAAAAATATTAATTTGAAATAATGTTATTTTGATCCGCACAGTAAGAACTTAAAACATTTAACTTCTAAGGAAACGTCAGGAATCAAAAACAAAATAAATTCGCGAAAAAAAACCGAAAAGATAGTTTTATTTAAAATGCTTTTATTTAAAATATTCGCGTAACTCTTTATAAATTTCGAGAAGGAAGAGGTCAGATGTCTGATTGTGAACTAATTTTTATGATTATTTTATTAATGAATAGATTATAATAAAATAGATACCTCAAGGTATTCTCATAAATATTTCAAATTTAACTTTGAGTCCAATATTTATGATTTTGAACTAAGTGTAACTTTTTTAGGTATTTTTTTAATAATATTTTCTAATCTGTATGTCTGTACGTAGTTCCGTGAAATGCGGAATTTTATTAAAACCATATATTGAAATATCGTCTCAGCCGAAAGACAGACATAGGCCACTCCCAAAAATTTCCATGATTACCGGAAGCCGGTTTTGTGTCATCTGCATCCATTGTTGTATAAAAATATATATTTGTAAAAGTAAAGCAATCCGCTAACTTCTTGACTTAAAAATATAAAAGTCCAATCGGAAGCATAGATCCAAAAATGTTTGAGCTTCCAATGCTATAAAGTACGGATTAAAGTCATTGGGATAAACTAGAAATAGATGCTCTTGGTAAGCTGCAGGCAGGACTTACGAACTTAGTAAATATAAATATTATGTAATAGGTAACTAAAATGTAAAGTATAAATATCAATGAAGCTTTTAATGTAATTTTAATCTGTAAAAGCTCAATCGCTTAGATGAGATATCACCTTTAAGAGTTTTATTTTTAAAATTAAATAGCCGATATCTTCAGGACCCATGATATTTATTCATGCTCATAAAATCATTATATAAGCTACAGTTACAATAATAATGTTATCACTAGAGTGATAAGCGGAAAAATAGAAAAAATAGAAAAATTTAACGCTTGTGCTTCAGCAGTCAAAAAAGTTTAGGGTATGAATTATACCAAATTGAACTTGAAACATTACGAGTATTTATAGTTGCACCACTGGTTTCACTTCCTATTATTATGTCCAGAAGACATGATGCAAAAACTGAATGTCATCTATCTAAGTCAAACACGCAATAACAACGTGCTCTATAATACACCGATTGTTAAGCCATAGGCTCGATAGCCCTAGTTTGTTTATTCTGTTCTTCTTTTATCCAGAATTAGATCAATGATGAGGTTCTGCATAAATATATATTATGCATATATAAATACTAATTTTTATTCTAGTAAATGCAGTGAATGCAGTGGAATAAGAATATATTGTAAAAATTACATGAAGATAATATACAAATTCTCTAATAACGACGTTTTCTCGTGGGAAATATTTTTACACACACTCATCTAACACAACTTCTAATTACTACTAAAAAAAAATTGACAGAATAGCCCAATAACTCTTTTCCCTACTCGGCAGCCCTGGATTTACACTAGGGGCACTCGGGGCTAGTGCCCAGGGCGGCAAATTTTTAAGGGCGGCAAAATTCGGAGGGTGGGAAAAAATTTTCTTCGCTTATCGAAAATGCTTTTTCTGATTTACCAAAAAATGAAAGGTAAAAAAAAGGTTAACTTGTAGGTAAATTTTTCGAAAAATTGATATCATTTATAAATTATTATTTCTTTGCATTTTTCGAAAAATTTATAATTAAAAAATTTAAACTTTCAACATTTCATTCAAAAAACAATAACATTCAAAATATCGATAATAGGGCGGCATTTTTTACTATGCCCAGGGGCGGCGCTAAGGTTAAATCCGGCCCTGCTACTCGGATTTTAATCTAGGACCTCTGCAGCCGTTTGTCTACTCTAGTGGGTAGCCACAGAGACCATCAGCTAACCACTAAACCAACGAGATAATGGGAATAATTATATACTTACAATGGTTTCTTTTTCAGCTGAACATATAATATTCTACTTATTTGTAAGAACTCAGCTCAGTTGGGACATGGTCAAGTACAGTCTTTATGCCAGCTACTCCATTATACTTCATTCATTCGGTAAGAAACTTTTTAATTTATATCAACATATTTATATACTAGCATTGCCAGCGGCTCCGCCCACGTTCAGATTACCAAAAACCAAATTCTTAGGTTTTACATATTAGTATACGCTGATATTGCAGTTTTTGTATTTTTTTCTCAGAAATGAGATATTTTCCCGCGGTAAAAATTATCCTATATATTGACCTGAATAACCAGCAATCACCATACCAAATTTCATCAGAATCCCTCCAGTGGTTTTTCTGTGATGCGGTAACAGAGAGACAGACAGACAGACAGACAGACAAAAATTCTAAAAACCATAGATTCAGCCTCTGTATCGAATATAAATATAGAAGAATAATGTATATTTTAATAACATTTTCCTAATAATATTTAATCTACAGATTCGACTTAGTTACAATTTTAATATATGTAATATGTATAGATAGATTGACAAATTTATAAAAGAATCTGGGCGAAGTCGAAACAAGTCATTAGTATGCAAAATTTCCCAACAAGGTACTACACTATTAACATTAACATACATTGTAGACACTTTAACACTATTATTTAATAACTGAATTTAATACGCGCCATGCAATATGTAAATGTGAAGTAATCAATAATATCTTACTGACCATCGTTATAATTCAACATATTTATAAAATACAAAGTCAAAAATCTAATTAAATGTAATGAAAGTTTTCTAGAGATCGTAGCTCATAGAACTTCTGTGGTTGGCCTGGCCCTGTAAAGGATATAGCGTGAAGTAATTATATCTTGTTTGTGATCGGACTGCTATTTCTTCTCTTCTTGTATTCAGTTCAAATATAGATTGTGACCTGAAGTAAAATATAGGCTACTGTTAGGCACCTAAAGACGCATTCGAGCGGAGCCAGCGCAAATCGCTAGTAATTATTAAAAGCCAAATCTATTAATTTTAAAACTTTTTTTGGCATTATAAAATGATATATTAGGTTGAGCTTAAAAAATAGAAGACATATTAGAAAGCTTGCGGCTAGCACACACCTTTTCCCAGGCAAAAGTACCTTCTTGGACTTCTTGGAAAGCTGCTTCGGTAATGTCAATCTGTCGCAGTATAACTAATTCCTTGAAGTTTATCGTTTTGTTATCAAAATTCAACTGTATATAACATAATATTATATCTTAACTTTCAAGATGTTTCAGATGGTTGATTCTGAACTTATACGATTATTTTCGGGTCATATAAACATATCATTAAATTTTGGATATATCGCTAAATGCCTTGCTACTACTTCAAAATGGACCAGGCCTTAATAGATACTAGTGTTCAAAGATATCTAACTGATGATGTACATCCACACTGAAAGCCAACTTAGTCTCGGGATAGATGCTCGTTGCATGTAGAAGGAAAACTTAAACTAGAACACATGGTTCTGCCTTAAAGAAATTCCCGAAAGGCTGTCTACTTACCAAGCATTAAATATTGAGCAAAACAATCAAATGAATATTAAATAAAGAACACCTGGTCAACAAAAGGCAGTATTGTAACATCTTAAAAATCATTTTTATACGACGTATAAAAAATGTTCAAGTATTTGGTAAAATGAAATTGTATAAAAGCGGCATTAACTTCAAAACATTCTTTTTTAAGCCGTACAAAACTTAGAAAGAAATATGAATGTATTATAAACAAGGGAATTCTTCTGACAAAACTTTGTATAAAATGTTATTTGCTTCTTAGAAATACATAAATCTAAATACGTTTTTGCCATGTTACTGTTATATGTAAAAAATGTATAATAAAATAATAGTAAATTTTATTCTCCTCTGCAATGAGTTAAAAAGATTACAAATGTGTTCAAAATATTAATATATTGTTGTAAACTAGCGGCTCACCCTAGGTTCGATCGGGTTCACCTGTAAAAAAAAACAGAAAGAAACCTATTCCACGGGAAACTTACATTTTTCTGGGATAAAAATGTACGGTTGTAGATTTAGTTAATTAGTAAGTTGAAGTCTAATGTTGCCTATATGTTATTCCAGACTGTAATCTATCTCTGTGCCAAATTTCATCCAGATCCGTTCAGCCGCTCTGGCGTGAAAGTGTAACAAACATCCATACATACTCACAAACTTTCACATTTATAATATTATATACAGATATAGTGTGTTAATGTATGGTAACTGCTGCAAATATCTTTAATGTAGTACACATGAGATGGGCGTGATTATAAGTCAATATTCGCATTGAAGGCAAAGGTAACCCAATGATACCGTGTTGGCTTGGGAAACCAAGATTTCCAGGTTTCACACCTCTGATATTCTCATATTCGAACAATTTTAACGTGATTACCACTGGCAAGTGAAAAAAAAAACAAGTAAGGAAACTTGCATATCTGGGAGAACCAAAAAAGTTTATGAAAGATATGTAGTCTGCCAACCCACAATTAGCCAGCGTGGTGGACTATGGTCTGATCCCTCTTACATTACAACAGAAGTTTAAAAGGGTAAATTACAATGACATTGGATTTTTGATATTTTTAATCTAGAAAAAGGAATAAGAGGCATATTTATGTTTGTAAGAAAAAATAATATGAGGATAAAAACTTAAGACGCTCAATCGGTCTATATTCTAAGCGAAGCGTATTCATATAAATATTTTGAAAATAAAACATAAACAGCTAAAACAATGCTAATAATAATAAAAAGCAACGGCTGTCCGATTGAGTTTTTGATCAAAGTACGAATAAGCACGATTATACGCTTCGCTACACATGAACAATGTAACGGAAAGTCGGATGCGACATTCAGTAAAGCATTACTGTTCTGCTTTGTATTTTCTACTTTACTATACAAACTCTTCTTATATTTTAAGTTTCACGCTTCGTCACTTGCGGGTTGATATAGAAAATAAAAGCTTCGGCTTTCACTCTCCACCTATATACATAGACTAGTGACTCACCCTGGCCTCGCTCGGGTTCGTCTCTAAGTACGGTTTTTGACCGTTAGTATATAATAGATAGTCTATATATTATATGATATATTATAGCCTATATATAGCCTTCCTCAATAAATGGGCTATCTCAAACAAAAATCGGATTAGTAGTTCCTGAGATTAACGCATGTAAACAAACAAACAAACAAAAAACAAACTCTGCCTCCTTATAATATTAGTATAGATATAGCACTATGGGTAACGGTCCTAGAAAATTGTGCAATATTATATCCATACATATAATAAAATTCTAAGTCGAATCTGTACATTAAATATTTTTTGGGAAATCTAATTAAAATAGACATTATTATCGATACAGAGTCCGAATCTATAGTTTTTAGTACTTTTGTCTGTCTGTTACCGCATCACGAGAAAACCACTGGACAGATTTTGATGAAATTTGGTATAGCTGGTTATCCGAGTCAACATATAGGATACTTTTTACCGCGGGAAAATATCTCATTTCTGAGAAAAAATACAAAAACACAAAAACTGCAATGTAAGAGTATACTAATATGTAAAACCTAAGAATTTGGTTTTTGGTCATCTGAACGCGGGCGGAGCTGCGGGCAATGCTAGTTATGTTATATTATACGCGCTCCATTAGGTAATAAAACAATGGACTTATAAGTATATACAAATTTATCATTTATCATAAATCTATAGCAGATACAAAAGCAAAAATACCTAATTAAAGTATGTGTTATTTAAATTTTGTCTCAATGAGAATATTTTTATAGACTCCTCGCGATTCTTTCTGACCTCACCTAGCTATAAAGTAATACACAAATCTAAATGACTGGTTCTAGGTACGTGCCACGTTTAGATTAGCTTATCAGTAATTATTCGGTACAACTCACACGCCATTTATTGTAAGCTGCATATACCATACCATCAAACAGATACTCATCAAAGGATACATTACAAACAGATTTACATTTATATTATAACTAATGACTTACCTTCGTTTCGTTTGGATGCCTCTCTGGGTGCCTAACAGTAATCTACAATAAGTGTTACTTCTGTGTACTAAATTACCTCTAATCCGTCCAACCGTACTAGCTTGTCGGACTAACAAACATTTACAAACATACAAACTTTCGTATTTGTAATATTAGTTTTACATAATATATATTTAATATTTTATAGGAGCAATATTTTCTATAACAATATTAAGTCGGAAGCTGCAGATCGACGACTCACTGCTCTGTCTAATTTCCGTCTCAAGCAAGTTCTTTGGTTCTATATGGACTGCTTTCGTTAGGACCGACATTGAAATGTATCTAAGTGAGTACTTTTTTGTATTTAGCATAAAATCAAGTTAATTGCAATACATATTAATATAATAATTTATTTGTGTACAATCATCTGTAAAACAATAATATTAGCTTTTAGTAAATATGTACAATTGTACATATTTTGTAAAATGCCTTATACTCTTTTGCTTTTACTGTTGTACTTTCTTTAGTTTTAATCCCTCAACGACCGCGAATACGCCGGCGTTACAGTTAACGATAGATTTTTTGGAATTTAATTAATTTCTTAGAAATTTACCTGGAGGTGTTAATTGAACAATTAGTTAGTTAGTTAATTTTTTAGTTTCTCCATATATAATTTTAAATTTTTTCGACATTTATTTAAATTTTCACATACATATGTATATACCAAACCAGCGACTCGTATAGACTTCGTATAGATTATATAGATTTCTCAGATATTTTTCCGCATTAAAAAATATTCTTTATGTTGACGCGGATAATCAGCTATCAGCATACCAAATTTCATCAAAATCTGTTCAGTGGTTTTCTCGTGATGCGTTCCCACACAAACAGATAGACAGACAAAAATTCTAATAACTACAGATTTGACCTCTATATCGATAATAATTAGATACTATTTCAATAAAATTTTCAAAAAAATGTTTAATGTATAAATTCGATTTAGTTAGAATTTTATTATAGGTATAGATGAAAATATTTTATCATTGTGTCAATACCAATATAATTAAACAATAACATTTTTTTACAGTACCAATAGCTGAAATACTAAATGGAACAACAATTACGTCTTTGCGCTCGATCATCTCTAAATTGGTGGACAGACAGGAAATAGGTAATAATGTTATTTTTTTTCTTAGAATTCTTAATTAAACCTACCTTGTAACGCCATATCAATAATTGTTTTATAATACTTACTAGCGACTCACCCTAGCTTCGCTCGGGTTCGTCCCTAGCTTGATTCCCAATTCAAACTTTCATCCCCATTTTCAGCCCTTAAGAGATGATTGCCGGGATAAAAAGTATCCTATATCCTTCCCAGGGTCTTAACTATCTTCTTACCAAATTTCATCTAAATCGGTTCAGTAGATCCAGAGATTACCCCCTACAACGTCACAAACTCACAAACTCACGAAACTTTACCTCTTTATAATATTATAGTATAAATTGGAGTACAATATTTATTATAATTTTTTGGCCAGTCTCGGTGAAATTGGTCACTGAGAAATTGGTTTGTATAGCATAATGACTAAACATCGCCGACATCCCAACTCGAGACTGCTAGTGAGTGTTTCTTCCACCCCACTCGATTGAAATATCGGCGAATACATTAGTCTGTAGTTTGTGGAAGCTCTTAAACCTCCCGTGATGTCAGACATGGTTTCAAGACCATGAATCGGTGGGCGCTACGAACGTGATCGTTGCTTCCTTCTTCTTGATTCTTTAGTGCCTACTCAGCAGTATTTTTTTCTTAGTCTTGCCATCCTCATTATAGTGCGAATTGTTGACCAATGGCATTTTTTTAAGTTTTAGAAAGTTGTCTGTTTTATAAAGAAACAATTTAACATAATATCAATGGATGGCTGGATAGGATTGCGGTTTCTCACTAGGATTACGGTTGTACAACAACCCAGCGATTAACCAATTTCGGACATGGTGGTTCTTTATCAGTGACATCTTCGAGAGATGTAAAGCGAGCACACACACATGTTCGCAGACATAAGCGCATTCTTTATCTCTTTCACTCTTAAACTCCGTAGAATAACAATTATCAATACCACTGGTGAGATCTCAGATACAAGACCATTGGTTTTATGTGGGTTGTAATATCATCAACTTCCCAATTTTGGGGATCTTCTAAACAATTCTTAAAAACCACATTAAATATAGTACTTTGCCAGACCTGGGACTCATGCCCACAAGGTTTATCACAGACCAACTACTCAAAGCCACAAAAACACTCAATGTGCCAATACTTAGTTGTATAAATATGACTTTCTACTAAAAACCAACTAGCAATTTATGGTGTTGCGATTTAAAAACCTTTTTTTTCAGCTAAAGTGAACTCATTATTCTCGCTGACCGAGACCCTGGCGTCTCTAGTATTCCAACCGTTCTATTCTTGGCTGTATATGAGAACATTGCATGTGCTGCCCGGAGCCATATTCCTCACCAGTGCCTCTTTTATAATACCTGCATCTTTTATTCTTGCGTAAGTAATCTCTCTCATTTATATAAATATATAAAACAAAGTTAAGTTTGTTACAACACTTATAACTCGAGAACAGCTGAACCGATAATAGTTTTTAATAAAAGTGTGATAATGCTATATATATATATATATATATATATATATATATATATATATATATATATATATATATATATATATGTATATATATATATATTTATATATATATCAATTTTTAGGAATAACATTTCCAATAAGTTTTTTCCCGAAACTCGCTCGCGTATTAAGTACGTCGATAAAAATGATCTACTTGCCAATTTCATACAAATATGCTAAACACATAATAAACTCTTGAGTGTGTTTGTTACTTCGACACTCACTTGGAGTTTTCCTTGGCTTTATGCACACTAAAATTTGTTTTTACAAGCTTGTTATTTGTTACTTACTGAATTCGTATATATTGTCTTTTTGGGGTTCCTTACCCGAAGAGTGCCAACGGAACCCTATTACTAGGGCGTCCGTCTATCTGTCTGTGAGCTATATCTCATAAACCGTAATAGGTAGAGTTGAAATTTTCACAGAGTATGTATTTCTATCGTCGTTATAATAGCAAATGATAAAAATAAATAAAAAATAAATATACAAGAAAAAAAATTCAGGTTCGTAATCGATCATCGAAGTTAATATAGGTACTACATACATAGAGTAAAAATCATATTAATAAAAAATAAATGTACAATGATACGGAACCCTGCGTGTGTGAATTCGACTCGCACATAATTTCTGTTTAATTTTTATCTCTAAATGTAACAATCATAAATCTCCTTATTTCTACCAATTTCAAAAGCTGTTATCTATAATATTTACTATTTTTAAACGTTAACTCTATCAGGTCACCTTGTCTTAATCTAGACTCGATTAATCTAAAACACGAAATAAAAGTAAAGAATAAATAATAATAATAAATAATAAATAAATATGTTGGAACATTAACATCTAACACCATCTAGTTCCATGGTAAGCTACGAGGCTTGTGTTATGGATACCAGATAGTTCATACACTACACACATATAACTTTAAATACATATATATTATAAATATAAACACCCATGACTGGAGTTCAAACATTCGTGCTCATCACACAAATGAATGCCCCCAGCGGGACTCGAACCCGCGACCGCTGGCACAGCAAGTACAAACTGAGCCAAACGTGTCGTCAATAAACAAAGTAAATAATAAAACAATCGGTCGATACCTCTTATTAATAAATTTTAATTGATATGTATTAATAGTTTTATAATCATAATAGGTACGTAAATATATATACAGTCAGATCTATATCTATATCTAGAAATCAGTACAGTATCGTTCTCTCCTTTGTTTGTCAACCGACTTTGTTTTTTCTTTGTTTTATTTAGTTAGCTATTGATAAGCTTTAGTGTATTGTTAATTGTAAAAAAAAAATTATGGTAGAGTTTTGACCACTGGCCGAACAAATAACAAAATATTCAATTCATTATTATTTTTTCAGATTATTTTACGTACAAAACAGAATAGCATTAAGAAATGGCAGAAAGAAAGCGTTAGAAGCAGAAGACAAAAAAGAAAAAGAAAACGAAGCTAAAAAAGCAGAAAAAGTAGAATTTTCCGAACCTCCGGTTGATTCAACGAACTTATAGCTTTAAGTAAATTAAAGACTGATTAAAATGTATGGGCAATATTTTAAATGTACGTTTTAGTTTATTTATATAAAAGAATGGTGGAGGTAAACTTTGATATATTTGTCTTATAAAAATGTAGACAAAAACTATCGAAAATACAAAAACATTGCCAAGTACGAGTCTGTCACGCACTTTGAGGACTCCGTAGACCATTCATATGTATAATATAATAATAAAAAACATATACGGATAAGAAACTATTAAATTACTAGAGGCTCACCCTCGCTTTGCTGGGGTTGCTTCTAGGAAGACAAAATCAAACCTATCCTACAGTAACCGTACATTTTTTCTGGATTAAAAGTACCCTATGTGTTATTCCAAACTATAATCTATATCTGTGCCAAATTTCATCCAGATCCGTTCAGCCGTTCTGGCGAGAAAGAGTAACAAACATACATCCATACTCACAAACTTTCACATTTATATTATTAGTATAGATTAAATATTTAAAGGTCAGGTATTCACCACTTGACCATAAAATCCTAAAGAAAATATAATATTTACGCATAAATGTAGAGAACTCAGTTATTATTTCTAGAGATTTTCAGTCTCCTGCAATATAGAGAGAGAAAATTTTAAATTTCTCACTATCGCATCTGACTAAAGCATAGATCTGTATGATCAACGTAAGATTCACCTTACGCAGCAATCGAATGCACGATTCCCAATGTATACAGAATAGGCAGGACCAATCAAACTTAATCAATTAATAATTCTTTTATTAATAATTTGTTATAAACATAATTTGTCGTTAAATCTAAGTTATAAAATTATAATATAATATTATGTAAAATATAGATATAATATTTTTATGTGTATATATGGATTTTTCGAATGAAAGTTAATAGGTACTAAATATAAATTTTAGAAAAAGATTGTCGGTTTTATTTAATTATTGTTAATAAAATATATGTTCACAAATAATTATTAAATTAGCTCTTCTTTAGTCTATTACATTTTATTTTATATGAACAATATTGACCCAGCGTAAATACTGTACAAAATATTTTTTAAGTTGTAAAATAACGGTACCGCCATCTAGTTTAGTCCAGACGAATTAAGTTTATGAATATTTATGATTTTTATATTATTACATGGTTTCCCATGGGGTTATATTATTTTCCCGCGGTAAAATGAAACCTACCTATGTCACTCTTGAGCCTTCCGACAATCTTCATACAAACAACCATATCAATCGAAATTATGCATGGATTATATTACAACGTGCTATCTCATGGGACTGAGTTGCTTTCCCGCTGTAAAAAATAGCTTATGTAATTTTCTATCCCTCCAACTAAGTCACATCAATCTGTCGCTCCGTTTTGACGAGAAAGAAGGACAAACAAACTTATTATAATAATAGGCTTAATTACTGCTACATCTAGAAAAGGACCAATTAAAATAAATAAACTGCGCGAGAGCAGTAGGTAAGGGGCAAAAGATAGTTTTGAACTTACAAGTAGAAAAAATTATTTTTCCTTACAACTCCAAAAATACATGGTTATGTTATTTATATTACTTTTTATATATTACTTTTGGTTGAATAACAATAGTTATTCTGATAATAATGAATGGAGATGAAACGTTTGCAAAGTAAAAGAGTACACACGAGAAAAATTAATTTTTATTTTAGCTTCGAGATTTGCGAATTGGAGACAGTATAGTTCGCCAGTGTCACATACAAAATTATCAGCCACTAGCGGCTCAACCTCGCTTCACTCGGGTTCACCTCTAGAAAAACAAAAGCAAATCTATACCTCGGGAACCGTATATTTTTCCTAAAAAGTAGCCTATGTGTTATTCCAGACTATAATCTATCTCTGTGCCTAATTTTATCCAAATCCATTCAGCCGTTCTGGCGTGAAAGAGTAACAAACATACATCCATACATACATTCTTACAAACTTTCGCGTTTATAATATTAGTAGGATTATTCAGATTATTCTTATTTATTATTAGTCATAGTATCTACAAATAAGTATTCACAGTTATACTATTGTGATGAAAACGGGAAATTTTTCATGGCTAGCACTTACTTTTGAGAGTTTACAATATATACTTACCATGATCATGGCGCTTATAACAGTGCCGAAATATCAGAAACTCTCAGAAGTGATAAACATGGTAAATATCCCATTTGACATCGCAATAATATTGTCAGTGACCATGAAAGATTAAAGACTTAATTCAAATTTTTTGTTCAGTGGCCTACGAGTTGCCGTTTAGGCACATTTTACTTTGCCAATATCGCGTAGAATGAAATGGGGAACCATAATAACATAATACAGACTCGACCTTGCACTAGCGAAAATACTACATCTATCTCCTACTATCTAAATAAGGATGAACTAAATAATAAATAGCACAATATCATAACAATTACGTATAAAATTAAACGTAGAATTATAAATACGATTTAAAAAGTATTAGCAATTAAAAGTACACAGTTTCCTTATTGATTTGCCACTGTGTTGTAATAATACAGAAGCAAAACTGGCGGAAGCTAATTTACAGATTTGATAAAATCAAAGGTTAATTCTGTATAACGGATAATATTTTAATGGTTTTTCTAATTTACGCTTCATTATAAAACACAGGCTGTACTACTAAATAGGCATTTTTTAGACTTTTTGTCTACACACAAAGAAATGTTTGTACCAGAAATTGATTCTGTTTCAACATACATCCACATAACAGTACATAAGATTTATCTAGCTTTATGCGGAAACTAGTTTTGCAACGATACTGTTCTTATGCGTAAACTACTGTGTTTAATCTAAATAAACATGATTTATTACTGATATAGTACTGTGTAATAAAGTATTCTTATTTATTGTAGTTTCACTGCATATAATGACACCAGATAAAAATTATACATATTCTGATAAAAATTGTCCTGGTTGTTGGCAAGGAATATAAAAGATTCCCTTGTTTCATTAACGGAATTGCTTGAAATTATAATTTACTAATTATGTAGCTAATTTAAAGTCACATGCTCACATTTTAAATAACTCTACAAAAATTAGTGCACGATGCAAATTCTAATTAGGTAGTAAGGGCATGTGCATAGCATATGCACCCGTATACGAATGCTATAGCACCCGTGGAATGCCAATGAAAATAAAATATGATGCAAGAAAAATACTTAAGGACGAAGCGTAGGCAGTACATTAGCATTAATAAAACAATAGAAAATAAATCATCGGCATTTTAAAAATCAATGTAGCAACAATCGTTTCACAACTCTTTATCAAAATTGACTTTGTAGTATGCTTAACTGTTAATGCCCAAGTAAAATAAGATAGGAGATTAATAAAGCTTATCAGATATACGGAATACCTGTTTAATAGTACAAATAGATGTTTTTATTAATATATGTGTTTTACAATCGGCTGACTTAACATCTCACTTAGTTTCTCCCATAAAACAATGTTATTAGAACTCTGAAAGTCTTAATAATCACACAACAGTGACAGTTGAACCAAAATAACTATGTCTTCTGAAAGGCAGAAAAACACCGAAAATGAAAATGAAGAATTTAGGGAAACCGATCCGTTACGAGAAAATCTGGAAGAACAAAAAGAAGAAAAGAAAAGAAGCGTCAAGGAAACATGTTGTTATGTTGTGAAAAATATCACGGTGGAGCCGACCATGTTCTTCTTTATTTTAGCAATGATATTCGGAGTAATACTATCACAAAATCTAAATATAGAAAAAGCATGTCGTGTAAATTTAAATTTTACTTCAGAAATTTGTGATGCCCTTAAATTACAAACTTTGGAAGAAGGAAATGTTTATGAAAGGGAGGTACAATACCTCGTAGCAAAGGCCTTGTCATGGAGAACTTATATCACAGCTACCGTGCCTTGCATTATGGCCCTTTTTGTTGGTTCATGGGCAGACAGAACTGGTTATAGAAAGATCTTCATTATAACATCTTTAGCAGGGCAAATGCTTATTAGTATCAATGGTGTTTTAAACGTATACTTCTTCTATGAACTTAGTTTAGAAGTTTTAGTTTTCAGTGAAGCTTTGATTGATGGTTTAAGTGGTTCTTGGTGTGTTTGCTTGTTAACTTTGTTTTCATATATAAGTGCCATTACAACTGATGAGAATAGGACATTCCGTATGGGGCTCATTAATTTTAGTTTAACAGTAGGCTTCCCAATAGGAATGGGAGCTGGTGGAGTTTTATATAGAAATATTGGTTACTACGGATGTTATGGATTACTGGCAGGACTTAATTTTTTCAATTTATTGTACAATATTTTCATACTCAGAGATCCACCACGCACTCCAGAGCAAATGTCGGTAAGTTGTATGAATATTATTATTATTAGTAATAAGTATTATTTTTTCAAATGGAATTTCAATTATTTATTTAACATACAAGTTATAGAAAATATTCAATCATATTTTTAAATCAACTAATGTTTAGTGTTTTTAAATTATAAATTTCTGTAGTAGTACTAGTATGAGAAAGAAATTCACAGAAATAGTTATGAAATATTTATCAAAAAAAAAAGTTTTTTGAGCTCTTCATGTTCAAACTTAGCATTTTTTGCTAAGCTTTATTTTAGTGAGACAACTTTTTTATGAGATATGAGATACATATTTGAGATGATCACTATCAACTGTACATAAATATTACTAATTTATAAACGTGTCTTTTTACTTTTAATTTTTTTTACATTTTTAATAAATATAAGTAAAGACAAAACAGACCACTATATTTTTCTCCTCTGTTTGTCAGCTGAATTTCTTTTTATTTGTTTATCAGCTATTTTCAAGATTTAGCGTTATCAATAAAAAAATAAATATTATGGTCAAATTTCAGCAACTGGGCGAACAATAGTCTATATAAGTCAATAATAATAATCGTCATCCAAACCAAGTAAAACACCTGTTTTTATTTTTCATAGCTTCTGTATTGCAAATTTTGTTGAATATTAATAGCCATAGTAATTTCATAACTTTTTCATTATTAACAATCGCCTTCTTATATATCACTTCATGTTAAAATGAAATGAAATGCTAGAATAAATAAATATGTTGGGACATTAACATACAACACCATCTACTTCCATGGTAAGCTACGTAGCTTCTGTTATGGATACCAGATAGTTGATACACTACACATATGTAACTTTGAATAAATACATATTATAGATATAAACACCTATGACTAGGGTACGAACATTCGTGCTCATCTCACAAATGAATGCCCCTAGCAAGACTCGAACCCACAACCGCTGGCACATCAACTAGGGACACTACAAACTAAGCAAAATCGTCATTGAATGCTAATTGAAAAAATGTTAATATATTACTTTCTTAATCGAGTACCTTTATTCTGGAAACATGAAATTACTATGTAACTTTTTACTATTCTACATGTCCTTTGTTAACGTTTCAAAAACAAATCAAATCAAAATATACTTTATTCAAATACACTTTAACAAGCACTTTTGAATTGTCACTTTTACATTTTCAAAATTTAAATTATATCTGTGATAAATCTACCACCGGTTCGGTGTAAAGTAAGCCGCTAAGCTGATAAATTACCTATTGATAGGTTTTGTTCTCTAATAACATGATTTCTACATTTTATATTTCTTTTTCAGCATGATAATAAAGGCTGCTGTCACTATTTGAGGTTATTTTTTGATCTCACCAATATCAAGGACACTATACAACTAGTTTTCAAGAAAGGCGCCAATAATCGAAGACTTCGTATTTGTACTTTGCTAGTTGTTGTCAGTATTTTGTTTGGACCAATGCATGGTAAATGATTTTTAGTAGTTAGTAGTTTAGTGGTTAGATTTTTAGATATTATTTAAACAAGATACACATTCTTCTATCCTTTTCGTGTATAAATATGGAGAAATTAATTTAATAACAAATAATTATTATAAAAATTTAGCATTTAAGTAGAAGCTAAATCAAGAGTGTTTTAAAGTTTAATTTGAATATTAGCATCGTGCATCACAATAATTATTTGTACATCGATCAAAAAAGTACTAGATATACAATCACATGCAAAAATTCTCTTAAAACGGTCGATTGTGCTTAGGTAATTATTCTATTTGAAATAAATATACAACAATGTAAATACTGCAATGCTTAAAGTTGCTTAAGCGCGCTCAAATGTTCAAATAAGCGCTCATTCGGTGAGGACATTTTTTGTCGATTATTTGATCGTTGATTGATTCGTGACGTTTTAATTGCCGTTTCATATAAGTACTTCTGGATAAAAACAAAAATATAATAAAGTATGGTATGGTATGGTATGTTCGGGCTGTTTTCCGCAACTCGACGACTATGCGCCTATTTTGCGTGTAATATAATAAAGTAATATGTATTTGTGTTATATGTATACGAATGAATATTAAAAATGATAAGGCTAGCAATATATGACGTTATATGTACATATCCCGGGGGAGAAGCCAACTCCTTCCGGGCGCGTCCCCAGGTGGCGAATAGGGACATGCCACCCGCTTAGGGCCAGCGGGTGGTACCGGAGTAATCCGGCGCGGACCAAATGGCTTGGTGGGGGCCGCTCGTCGAGGCCTTGTGCCGAAAGGTTCGGCTGAAGGCGGCCTGTGACCGACAGGGGAGGGGCCGCGGCGGGAGAGGAGTGCCGGTATTACGGTGCGCCGCTCTCCCTGCCCTCCGCGGCCTCGGCGGGGCTAGATGGCGGACGCGGTGGGGCTGCAGGGGAAGAGGAGTGTCAGTGTGTCGTTGCCGCTCTCCCTGTCCTCTGTAGCCGGATGTGGGGTGGCCCACTTCGGTAAAGGTGCCAGAGGGCGGTTGACTTGGGGAAGTTGGCCGTCCAGCGTTCTGGCTGAGGAGGCCGTCAGGGGTGGTTGACCATCTCAGCCCCTGACTTTAGGACGGGCCTTAACAGGCACTCGCTGTCGGGGTCACGGAGGAGTCTCTTTGGTACGGGTGGCCCCGGCCTTAAGGCGATGGAGGTACTTTGTCAGGTTTTTTAGTGGGTAGGCTGCCGCGCGTTTACCATCTTTGCGCGGCAGGAGCCCCACATAAGCCGTCTCGCATCCCCCATTGGCGAGCGGGTACCTAGGAACAGGATTTTTCCTGCAAGAAAAAAAAATGTACATATGTATGTAATTAGCGCAGTACATAAAATATTATAAATATCCTTTAAGTTTAGTTAACTTGTAAAGTGTACATTAAGATCATGTGTAACATAATCTGAATGTTAATTTTATTGTACAACTAGCGACTCACCCTCGCTTCGCTCTGGTTCGTTCCCTAGCCTAGCCTAGCTTGATTCCCCATACAAACTTTCATCCCCTTTCTCGCCCCCTTAAGGGGTGATAAAAAGTCACAAACTCACAGTCACTCACACACTTTACCTCTTTATAATATTATATTAGTATAGATGTGTTTTTTAACCCCTGATGCAAAATATTATTATGGGATTATAGGATAATTATTGATTATAGAATGGGATGTTATAAGTTTATTTTAGTATGTCTGTGTATCTGTGTTTCTGTGTCTGTTTATCTGTGGGTGGCATCAAAGCGCCCAAACAAATGTACCAATTTTAATTTAGTTATTTTTTTGTTTGAAAGGCGACTTGATCGAGAGTGTTTTTAGCTGTAAACCTGTAAATCATAACAACCTCTTCTGCTGTTTGCAAGCCAACAGCTACTCAACTTACTAAAATACTGCAGAGATATCATGTTTAGGGTCATTGAAATGGTCTCAAGGAATATGGTGTTGTTTTTTTTTAATTTTTAACTTAAGCGTTATTATTTACAATTAGTATTTCGTCAACATTTTTAAATTCGTAAACATTTTACTGTTATAAATATCCGTACATAAACTGATATCTGATAATTTCGCTATCATATAATAAGTTATATGTAAGATATCTTTTGACACACTTTAATTCAAAAAATATACTAATGCGAGTCTGACTATGCCGAGTTATAGTGAGTTCCGTAACTTCCTACATATTTTTTTTTAATTTTATATATATATATGTAACTTCTTAGGTAAAAGGTAATATAGTAAATTTTGTATCTCATAGTATTTCTAAAGATAGTATGAAAAATAAAGTAAATTTAACAAACATTAAAATTATTTCAAAAGAATTATTAAATCTATATTTTTGAATTTTCCACTCCATTCTTTAAATGTTAGACGGGCAAGTAGTATTGCTGTAGTAATAATGTAGAAAATTAAATAAAAACATACCTATTCAAGCATACCCCACAACTTTGTGTTTTTATTATTATTTTTCATAATTTGAGTGCCTACAGCTGCACAGCATTAATAGCAGTTTATATTACCTCCACAGCTATATAGTATTGATAGTCTTAGTAAAATTGCTGTGATATACAGAAAAACAGAAATAGCAAAAATCATAAGGGTTCAATTTTTCGTGTTTGCTATGGAACCCTAAAAACATTCATTGTTTTTGACCTTCTTACAATTATATTACATTAATACATTTACTATAAAAACATAAAAAATAATGATGTAAATAATATATCACTTTTTAAAATTGCTTAGTACACGACACTACAATTTAATTTGACGCATCATGATTATTTTATCTTTTACTATGAATCTTATTAATCTACACGTACATAAAACTAGTCCTCATACACTTGTGTGTTCTGTAGAATATTTATGTATAAATATTTAATTATAATGAAAAAGTGTGTTTGTTGGCATATTAGTGATATAAGCTGTTTTGTAACCCCCGACGCCAAAAGAAGGGTGTTATACTCGTAAGTTTTACCGCTATATGTGTGTGTCTGTCTCTGGCACCGTAGCTCTTAAACGAGTGAACCGATTTGGATGCGGTTTGTTTTTATTTGAAAGCTAGTTTCTTAACGATGGTTCTTAAATATGTTTTATCAAAATTGGTGCAGCCATTTACTAGACGTAGGGGATGAAAGTGCGTATGAAAAACCTAATAATTTTAAATATACCCAAGTGGGGTATCAAATGAAAGCGCATGATGTGTATTATTCCCCCGACGCGGCGGCGATCCTCATCAAAGTATCAATGGGTACTTTTAATGAAGTTAAAAGACCAAGAGAGTTTTTTTTACTTTATAGAGGGTTTTTTTGTGTGGAATTAATTGTTAATTTTTTTATAGTTTCGTATATATGAGAAGTTTTTATAAGATATTAGTTCATTCAAAAATTAGAGCCTAAAAGAAAAGAAGGCACGTATCTAGACCATACTTCCAAATTTAATATTGTAAATGGGAAAAAGTGTTTGTTTGTTTGTCTTTCTTTCACGTCGAAACGGATTGACGGATTGGCGTGATTTTTTGTGTGGAAATATTTGAAGGGCTGGAGAGTGACATAGGCTACTTTTTACCGCGGGAGATTATCTAATTCCCACAGGAAAACGCGTTATAATACAACTCAAAAAAATATTTATGATCAGAATTACTTGAAACTTACTATTAATGCTCTTCAATACAATTAAATAAATACGTGTTTCAGAATTTTTTTAAATTCATCCCAAGGGTATGAAAGTTTGTATAAAACCTACCTTTTCAGAGTTTTTTTTTGTACTTTAGAGTGAGCGAAGCCGCGGGTTCTGCTAGTATGTTATAATTAAAAAAGATATTTACTAAAGAATGTTTGTAGGTGAATTGTCCATACTTTATATAAATACAAGATACCGATTCAACTGGGACGCGGTGAAATTTAGTGTTTTTCAAGCATATAACTTCATTGCTCATACTATTGGTAAGTAATAACTTAAAATTATTTATCAACATTTTTAATTTTATAATTTTCCATTTTTGAAGCTACACTTCTTTTGACACGTTAGAAAAAAAATATGAGAGTAAAATTTTTACGATGCGCGCACTCATCGATAGCCAAAAAGCGACATGATGAAGTTAGCTGCATTCCTTTTACAAACAGAGAGTTGTGACATACGGGATGAAATCTTTAACTATTTTTGTTCTGTTACGCCAAAGAAATTTAACTTCTTACGTGCGTACATAAGTACACACACACGTTTTTTTATATTTTTAGTATAAATTATTAACTACTTTATTTTTAATACCATTTTAGGAACTATTTTCTCCATTATGGTATTTAGCAAATATTTAAAATGGCACGACTCGGTCCTGGGAATTATATCAACGTTGAGTAAAATCGCCTCGTCCTTTGTGTACTGCTTCGCACCGAACGAAAGGATTTTCTTTATTGGTATGGTTAATCATTTAACTATTTTAATTTTTTATAGTCCTATATATTTAAAAAAAATAAAACAAGGAAAAAATTAGGTCGCCACTGTCACTGAGGCTAGCTAGTGGTCTAATGGTCGAGACAGATAAATATTAATGTTAATCATGTGGTGTGTATTCGGCCCTTTTTTTTAACGTCCCATTGCTGGGCTTGGGCCTCCCTTCAATATGAGCATGCTGGCCAAGTGCGGGTTGGCGGACATGACATGTCTTTCGAAAACATGCTAGATTCTCTCAGACATGCAGGTTTCCTCTCGATGTTTTCCTTCACCGTAAGACAAGTGGTAATCATAAAAGAAATAATTCGCACATGAAAATATCAGAGGTGCGAGACCCGGGATTTGAACCCGCTTCACTCGGTTTCCCAAGCGAGCGCGTTACCACTGCCTGTGCCTACCATATGTTAATCATATTTCATCTATAATAATAAAGTGCAAGCATCGCCAAAGCGTAAGGTATGTGTTTTTCCCGGAACTTCTTTACCAGACAGTAATCAAGCTATCTTGTTTACTCGAAACATACATATAATTGAATGGAAAATCTTCATTATACATAATTAATCTAGTATGTGAGTAATATAAAGATGCTTCAACTTTCATAAGTTATAGGTATATAACTTATTCTAAAAGCTCGGCCACCAACACTATACATTGTTTAAAACCTTATTTTTCACTGAAATTGAAAGTGAAATTGAACACTATTTCCACTAGATATATATATATATATATATATATATATATATATATATATATATATATATATATATTTGCTTATTTCTAAGTTTTTACATTTGATCTAGATTCCGAACATAAAAAAAACTATTTTATTTTTGTAATGTGAAAATTTGCATGTTAGAATGTTTGTAACAACAACTCGTTAAGCGTTGAACAAATTTGGAAGACTTGGGACATAGTTTAAAAAAAGTTCTATAAAAAAATACACAAATAAAAGACCTGACAGAGTAAAAAGCAAAATAAATACATGGAAACATGATGACGCAGCGTACATAATAATATATGTTTTATACTTGCTGCGAATCTTGCCACATGTGGAAGTTCATAGATAGTTAAGGGGCTAACAACCTAACCCCCTTAACATCTTTATATAAAAATTCACAATAATTAGAAGATGGACACACAAACAAATATATTTATAGTATTAATACATTTATTCTTTTGTATTTACAGCGCCACTGGTAGATATTTTAAACGGAACTTCTCTACTGGCTTTGCGAGCGATCGTTTCCAAATTGGTGGCTGTGGATGAATTCGGTAAGCCATACGTTACATATTAATATAAATATCATATAAATAATAAGAAGACTAATTCACATTTATCATTTAGCAATTTAAATATGTGTTTAAATTTACATTTCTGTATATACTAATTCTTTAAGTTAAGGCGCTCTTTTCCAGAATCGCCGCTCCCTAGGCGCCAGCGCGCGACGACCCGTTTCATTTTATCTGTTTTTCGCCTATTGCCATAAATATAAGTTAATAAATGAAAATCTGTTTCTCCGAATACCTAAATAATGACAAGCTAAATCTATGAGTATAACTTTCATATCATGTAATAATGTATTTTTTTAGACCTATCTTTGAATTTTTTTTCTATCGAGTGAACTATTGCCAATCGTGTTTTGGCCTCTCCGGGTACTTAGCTATTATCCTTAACTATAACATGTATGAATTTGAGAACTATATGTATTATATTCGTGGTTTTATAATGGTTCAAAATATCCTAAATTCTGGAAAAGAGCGCCTTAACTGTGAAATATAGTGAAAAATAAACTTTAATCAACTACCAAAATATTTCATGAGACTAACTTGTTAGAAGTTTTACATTTATCCATAGAGTGGATCTAGATATAATATACTAGCGACTCATCCTCGCTTCGGGTTCGTCCCGAGACAAAAACAAATCCTGCGGGAATCGTACATTTTTATGGATAAAAAATAACCTATGTGTTATTCCAGACTATAATCTATCTCTGTGCCAAATTTCATCCAGATCCGTTCAGACGTTCTAGCGTGAAAGAGTAACAAACATCCATACTCACAAACTTTCACATTTATAATATTAATACGGATTAGTATGGATGGATAGAGATATTAAAGATATGGCCCGAAATACCATTTCTTGTCCTAATAAAGAGGAGATTATGTTTAGTAGTTGATTCTTTTCACAATATTTTGTTGAACATTCTTGAAATTATGAGAATTTCATAAATTCCTTCGTTTATCGGGAGATGACCCAGATCAAGAAACTGGTAACACAAATATTTGACATTTTAAATAAAACTATCTTTTCGGATTTTTTCGCGAATTTATTTGGATTTTTGTTCCTAACGTTCAAAATTCAAAGGTTTAAAGTTAAAAAATATTGTAAGGTAATTGGTGCAATTTTCATTTTGTTATTTGTGGGTAGGCTGTCTGTAACAACTATACCTTCGAAACATCTAACACCTCATTCTCTCCCGTGACCATGAATGCTGTAAAGCATTCGAAACGTGGGGAACCAAAAATCCAAATAAAATCGCGAAAAAATCCGAAAAGATAGTTTTATTTAAACTGGTAACGTTTTGCATTAATAATAATGTTGATATATGAAATGGAAAATAAGGTCAAATTACATTATTGGCCTTGGCGTTAACCTCTTATATTATTTAATACCATCACATACTGTATTGCATGGTGATGTAATTTACTAAAAATCACTTTAAGCTTCCTAGTTTAAATATTTTTTATTTGATATCAGAATTTTATAACGAGGCAACATTTAGACAGTACAATAAATAAAATTACAATTAGCACAATAAAATCGAAAAACTTATTGTATTTACTTTAAATTATATTGTTTTTTTTTTCAGGAAAAGTGAATTCGATATTTGCACTGACTGAAAATCTTATGCCCTTAGTATATGTACCTCTATATACAAAGGTATATGTAGCAACAATGGAAACACTGCCTGGAGCAGTATTTCTTATGGGATCTGCTATGACATTGCCTGGAGTGGTAGTTTTCATGTAAGTTATAATTATTCAACGTAATGTCAATAACATGTTTTTGTATTTCTTGATATTCTTATCAATTTTTAAAGTGGCATAAAAATACTATACTTAAACTAAAATAAATAATAAACTCTTAATATATTATCATATAATCTTATATCTTTAAACGAGCAATTCTGGTATATATATATATATATATATATATATATATATATACATATATATATATATATATATATAAACTGAATATCGGATAGGGCTCCAACGATTTTGCTGAAATTTGGTATGTGGGAGTTTTCGGGGGTGAAAAATCGATCTAGATTAGTCTTATGTCTGAGAAAACGCCTAATTTCGAGTTTTCATGCGGTTTTCTTTCGCATTATTTCACACAAAATATGATCTTTAATTTCGCACGCTCTGGCATAAGCATTATGATCAAGCGGCCAAGGCGCAAGTGTACAGGTTCGAATCTCGGTCGGATACAAAGTTTTTACTTGTTTTTTTTTTTATTTTTTTTATATTTATTCAAGTTTTAGTTAAAAAAAAGTAATAGTACCTTAGGCCAAAAAGTCCGAGCGAAGCTCGGTAGCCCAGGTACTAATCTATTATGATAACCATTTGTTTCATATACACTTATTATGCCTTCATAATATATACTTATACAGTGTTATTTATTTCCAACAGATTCCTGTTTTGGGAGCACATAAGAAATCAAAAAAGATTGAAAAAACAGAATGATATTGAATTATCGGAAAAGTAACTCTATTTAAGAATATACACTATACGATACAAGCAATCCCACCGATGTGGAACAAATGCTATCAAACGAAAGATGAAAGAGTAGACGAGTTAAGCATATTTCACGGCTTGCTTCTTCCCGAATAATAAATCGTCACTAGCATAATTTTTTATTAAATAATATGTGAATGTTAATCTTTTTCATTAAACTTTTAATATCAATATTGCTTTTATTTACAATACCTATGCTATTTTTTTATTATAGCCTTTGTTAAGTGTCCTTATCAATAGCATCTGACGACTTTGTAAATATTGAACTCAGTTGTTATATAAATAATCGTAATACAAATAGTTGTATCGTACTTAATTCTATTATTTAGTAAAGAAATTTCTCGTAGACGGAGAAAATTTCGCGATGTGAACGGTTTATATATCTCTTTTAGTGAGCTTGTTATCAATATTTCAAAAGTGAAAATGGCCGAATCAGAGCAAACAAAGTCAACGGTTGATATCGATATGGAGGATTTGAACAAAGATGAAGCACATGAAGCTGTTCCACTGAAACCAGACGATAATAGTATTAATAACAAAAATAAAAAGTTAACTTTCATAGAAAAAGTGAAGCTAGTCAAAGCTAATATAACAGTTGAACCTATTATGGCCTGTTACATAATGCCGAGCATTTTAGCCTCGCTCGCAACGCAAAATCTGAACCTAGAAAAGGTTTGTCGGGTAAATCTTAACTATAGTGAGGAAATTTGCGATGCTTTAAAATCAAGGCAAACGACAAATTTCACGGTATATGAAGAACAAGTTCAAATGTACACTGCAGAAATTCAAGCTTGGAAAAATGTTGTTCAAACAGCAATTCCTGTTATGATAATATTATTTGTTGGGGCATGGAGTGATAAAACTGGGAGACGAAAAATTTGCATATTAATGCCAATAGTTGGCGAGTTCTTAACTTGTATTGGATTTATTATAAATACCTATTACTTTTACGAACTTCCAGCTGAAGTGACTGCTTTAACAGAAAGCATATTTCCTGCTATTACAGGCGGTTGGTTTACAAATTTTATTGGTGTTTTTAGCTATATAGGTGATATAACAACTATCGAAGACAGAACATTTAGAGTGGGTGTAGTTAACTTATGTATGTCACTTGGCTATCCAATAGGCAGCGCTTTAAGTGGAGTTTTACTTACATGGATTGGTTATTATGGAATATTTTCCCTATCGGCTAGTCTTTACTTATTTAGTCTTACCTATGGATATTTCTACTTAGAAGACTCTAATAAGAAAGTAATTAAGAAGGTAAGTACAAGATATAAACAACAAAATATTTAATATTATGTACCTATATCGATACTTTTATAGTCACATATACACTACTCTTATTTAGGTAAAAATATTTACAGAAACGCGGATGTTTTGGTTTCATAAGAGAATTCTTTGATCTCGCTCTCGTGATGGAAACCTTTAAAGTGGCCTTTAAGAAAGACTCGGGTAACAGAAGGCTGCGTGTCTGCCTATTACTTACGGCGGTATGCGTAGTGTTCGGTCCCTTACAAGGTAATTGGTTATTAATGCGAAAGTTTGTGAGGATTATGAATGTCTAAATGTATAGGTGTATGTAGGAGGTACTCTTTCACGTAAAAACTACTGATTTAATTAAAAATTATTTAAATTAAACTTGACAATATGTAGCATCAGAATAACACGTAGGCTACTTTTTATCCCCGAAAATATACGGTTCCCGTGGGATAGATTTGTTCTTGTTTTCCTACAGGCAAACCAGAGCGAAGCGAGGGTGAGCCGCTAGTAATAAATAATTTGATATTAAATATAAGATGAAGGATATTGATGCTTTATTTAGTATATTTATTGCCAATATGTATTTTTAATTTCTTTTTATAACATTCCATTGATTTTACACTTTTAATATTGTTTGGTATTTAGTTAGTGGTATTCCATAGTTTTTGTTGTTTTTCAGGGGAATTCACAATAATGTATCTATTTACTAGATTCAGATTTAACTGGGACGAAGTAATGTACAGTATGTGGTGTACATATAGCATAGTCACAAATTTAATTGGTAAGCACTTTTAATATCTTTTGTACATAATAATAGCATACACGATAAAAATCAGTGGTCTAGAGCTTTGTGATACTCGTATATAAAAAACATTAGCGAATTACTTCTTCGGATTCATCTCTACGTGTCTAATAGGTAATAGCCTATGTGCTACTCTAAGACGTAATCTATCTGTGTACTAAAGTTCATGAAAATCCGTTCAGTCATTTCAGTATAAACACATACACGCTTTCACTATTATAATAGTTTTTTTCTTTATGTTGAAAAATCCATTTATGCATACCATCGGTGATTATGTGGGACTCACTGGGTCGAAAGGCCAGTACTACCCACTAAAACCCAACAAAACCTTCCCCCGTCTTAATGGGGCGTCGCAGGGTCGCTTACGCACTCAACTACGATGTCCCGACGTTAGGTCTGCCGAAGCAGACCACAATAACCATGGGGTTGCTTCACGGTCCACTCTGCTATCAGAGAAGTACCAGGAGCTACCTGGATGGTACAACGCCCACCGAAGTGGGCCACTACCCCACGCCCACCGAAGTGGCCCACTACCCCACGCCCACCGAAGTGGCCCACCTCCCTCTGCGTTTCTGAGCTTCGCGCCCAGCTGGATTGCCCGGCACTACTGAGCAACACCACAACAAAGTGAATGTACGTTAGGGGGGTAATACCAATAGTAGTCCAAGATACTCTAATCATAATAAAAACAAAACAAATATTTTTCTCGAACGAACCGAATCCGCTATCTTCGGCAAAGTAAAACAAATATTAAGATTTCTTCATGCGGAATCATAATAATTCCTTGAATTTTCATATATTTTAACCCTCATATATACAAATGATTTATAATGTAAATTGTTACAGGTACGGCATTTTCGATAAGTCTCTTTAGTAACTATTTGAAATTAGACGACACTCTCCTTGCTATTATATCCTGCATGAGCAAAATCATTGGTGCGTTCGCGTATGCTTTTGCTAGAAACAATTTGGAAATATATATAGGTAAGATAAAAATAAATCTTATTTTTTGAACTATTGTATTAAATTATTATGAACATAATATAATATATTATGCCGACCCGGCATTTCGGCACTGATTTCTAATGGAAAAAGGGCACTTAGGTATATAGGTATGTTATTCCGGTACTATTGATTGAATTCTTAATGATTCTTCACTAAAAAGCTACATTATTCAACGGTATATACAATTTTAGTGCTAATATTATGTCTAATATTTTGTAGGGTACTAATATATTGCAAAATGTTAAAAAATTAAAATGTATAAAGGAGAATGGTGTATAGACCAATGTTAGGAACTTAGGGAAGCCAAGCAGGTATCAAGATTCATATCGTTCTAAGTTAAATCAAAAGTCTTCAATCACAATGTTGATGTGGAAGGTGTATTGATTTATTTAAGGAAAGCAGTTGCGCAGTTATGCCTTTATCTATCATTTATTTCTAGATTGTAGATCACGTTCAAATTGTATGTACGGTATATTTATTTAATAATAATCTCATATCTCATTTATTAATATATAGTAATAATAATTCTCATATTAATAATAATAAGTTTATTTGTCATTTTTTTTAAAAAACCCAACGTAGAGATGACTTTTAGTTGAAATGAATCTATTTAATGTGTTTAAGCGATGTTTGAGACGTAATAGATATGATTTTAAAATTTTAATGCGTGTGCTTGTTTAATCGCGTATCTGTTATGTACTTATTGGATCTTGTTAACTGTAAAGAGCTTCTACGCCTTCGATGTAAAGTTAGGGTTACATATATGTTAATAGTGGACTAAACCAAATACTTATGAGAATACACAAAGACAGACAGCAAGAGACAAGCAAAGCTGCGATAATTATAAATTAAAAATTTTAAAAACCCCCTGCACAAATTAATTGTCATTTAACGATTACACGCGTGAAACACTTAATCGAGTAATTATTATTATGCCAAAATGCCTTATATCATTTTGGAAAAGAGCTGATACTCTTACACTTCTGGACCGATATTAACCAAATATAGCTAAGAACCACCGCAAAACTGGCTTTCAAATGAAAAACCGCATGGAAATCAGTCCATCCGTTTGAGAACTACGATGTCACAGACACACCACACACATAGACAGATAGGCAGACATCGATGTCAAACTTGTAACACCCCTCTTTTTGCGTCGGGGGTTAAAAAAAAAACTTTTTAACAAAAAATAAAAACCGACTTCAAACAAAAGCACTAAAAAGTAAAAAATAACTGATTGGTAGTTTTCATTTACTATACATACCTAATCAAATATTTTCGAAGTCGGTGTGCTTTGCTTTGTATGGGCTGGCACCGATTTCGAAAATATTTGATTAGGTATGTATTTAATAGGTAGGCTTTAATTACTTAGCCAAAGCACACCGACTTCGAAAATATTTGATTAGGTATGTATAGTAAATGAAAACTACCAATCAGTTATTTTTTACTTTTTAGTGCTTTTGTTTGAAGTCGGTTTTTATTTTTTGTTAAAAAGTTTTTATTTTTCCCTTTTTAGTGTAGACAGTAGTAGCAAAGTAAGAATTCTAACGTGTTTGGCTTATCAAATCAAACAAAATAAGCCCAAACTCAAAGTATCTACTATTAGCCGTTGAAGAGTTCCACCTATCCACCTTCTGGCCTTGCCAGCAGATCAGGTCAACAACACCGAACCACTGTACTATCAACGGAATTAGAAATACTTGCAAAGTTTCAAGTCAATATGACAATTAGAAGTAGGTTAAATTCATCATTAGTGGTTTTTCCACCCTTAGGGGTGGTATTTTTTTTTGAAATTTAAATGGGACCAATCTGGAAGTATACCCTTTCAAACAAAACAAAAATTGTCCAAATCGGTTAATAAATGACGGAGTTCTGAGGTAACAAACATAAAAAAAAAAAAAAAAAAAAAAACATACAGTCGAATTGAGAACCTCCTCCTTTTTGAAGTCGGTTGAAAAATAGCTAACACTAAACTATCATATATTTATCAATAGATATCATTATAACTCCAATCAAAAGTAAGTTGAACGTAGTTAACTCACAACACAATAATGGTAGTTGGTGACTACGCAAGTTCCTTTCAAAGTTAGATTTAAACGATGAATTAGATTTAGCTTTGAAACCCTGCCACTTGTGCATTGCTTAAACATGACGTGTTAATATTTTATTAATTCTTAACTTTGAGAGCGTCAAGTTATTATTTGTATATATTTAAATAATGGTAATGGGGTCCAGGGATAGAAATCAGTACACGTCCTTTGGGTAAAAACACATAAATATATAGAATTAAGCCGACGTGAGAATGAGATAGATTACATAGCCATGTTGCTATGGTGACTGTTGTTATTTGAGATAAAATACATTACACAGGAAGTGAAAAATAATAAAAAATAAGTGACTGGTAGTTTTCATTTAGATATATCGAAGCAGCATTAATTTTCTCTATTATTTTCCATTATTTTATCATGACTTATACAGTGGGCGTTATATGGGAAGTGTTGGTTCAAATGAAAGTCGATGCAATCACCGTTGTATTTCAAATTAACAATAATCACTTTGTACATTAAACAGCACTTCACTACACAGCCATATACCACTTCACTATTACCACGTATAGACAATACGGAACGCAAGACAGTTTCTAGTGGAGCGGTCCTAAGCTTGGCTCGGCTCGAAGGCAAGTGTCCAGCCCTCTTAGCACCCCTCCCTTAGCTAGGCTCCGTCGTAGCACGAAGCTCGCCGAATGTTGGCGATAATACCGAAGGTGCTGCCATCACTCAGGCGTCGTGCCGCGCTTCGTTTAGCGACCGTATTGATGACCGTCTCCGACACGGCCATCCTGCGTGCACACGCCCTCGTGTGTTAGCCGTGTGTTAACCTGCAACCAAATAATCAACGAAAATACTTGCTCGACTCGGTCAATCCTGACCAGATAAAACTTAACTTTGAATCTGACGAAAAGCTTTAACGCTAACACCTTTGTTTTTTTTTAAACTCCAAGTCACTATTTATCTCTAATCTAACTAATAACGTCAGTCATCCAGAGCCATGTACCAACATCATTCAACACTTCAGCAATCAAACTAATTTTCAAATTTACTAGCACCTTTGTAAACCACTCTTAGGCCACGGCTTTACAAGCCAACCAGCAATCACAATTGCTCCACAATCCAGGTGCATCCACTACGGGATCACCGTGTGTATCATCCTCTCGATGACTACACACTATGGTCATAACAGACCCCGACCTCCGCCAGAACTAAACGCACATCACACACCCACGGTCTATATAGTTTGAGCTTCCTCAAAAGACCGACTTTTACCAGGCTATGACTACGTAATAGTTACTAGTACGGTCGACACTACTTCGGCCGTCAGAATGCTTACATCGGTTTCCATCGACTTCATTAAAACATTTGCTAGGCATGATGATCATTATTTACATCAACCTCTATTGGTACATGACCTACTAGAATTTTTGTGTAAAGAATTTATAGCCGTCATGTTAATAGAAAACCTTTCAATATCTCATGTTCTATCATGATACCATTTTGTAACTAATAATTAGGCAAAACATAATATTTCAAAAGAATTCAAGAGAATGACCGTTAATCGTTACAAAACAAATTTTACTCTGTGCGGAATATTCTGTTTTGATCAATACTAGAAATTGCAAGGACAAAATCGTTAACCACACAATTTGACTGCTAAATGTTATCTTACTAACGAATATCCAGCACCATGATTATAACAAAAGCAATACAGATTACCTCTATGCCATTGAGCATTCGAAGATGCTTGTACAACACATACATCCACGCGTCGTTCCGTTCGTGTTGCACCCATATTGCTGCCATCCACTTGACTGGCACTACTTATGCACCGGAGCGTGATGTGACCAGGCTTGCCACATTTGAAGCACACCAGAGACTTCACTGCAGGCTGCAATGCCGTTGCTGTCATCGAACGTCGTTCCACGCTGTCATTTATCTTGCTTCTACACTCTGACCGCTTAAGGCTCACTTTTTTTTTGCGTTTCAAATGTGAGAATGCGTGCAATCCCTGCTGCAGTCGATCTCGCGAAGCAATTTTCGTAGTAAAGGCCAATCGTTGTAATTTCGAATTAAACTGACATAAGTGAGCAAGGACAGTCGCAATTGCTATCTGATTCTTGCTAGCGTCTTTCCAACGATTAGTCTGTGACGTCATCAGGCGATTTGCGTACGTAACGAGTTTCTTTTTTTCATTTCGTTTGTCACTGTTAAAATTAATTAGCGTACCAGCCAATGTCTCGGTGGAAATAAATCTCGCCTTGAAAATCACTTTGAACTCTTACTATGTTATTCTCTGGTATACAAATTGTGACAGCCACGTCGACCCTTATCCTTTTAATTCCTTACTGACTGTTAAAATAAGTTAGCCGCCGTATGGAGGGTATTCGGCAAAACACAAATCTACAGTCGCAAATCAAGATCTTGCGTCCGTATCCATATTGTCAGGGTCAAACTCGTGTAACATGACGTTCTTCTTCATCCGAGGCATTTGCATGGCCTCGATAAGAGATCACATACTGACATTTTGTTGTTCAAACATAGCACGCCATTGTTCACTCACAGTTAGTTCTTTTTGCAATTGAACCAACACTGATCCCGCTTCTGATATCGAAGCAGCATTAATTTTCTCTATTATTTTCCATTATTTTATCATGACTTATACAGTGGGCGTTATATGGGAAGTGTTGGTTCAAATGAAAGTCGATGCAATCACCGTTGTATTTCAAATTAACAATAATCACTTTGTACATTAAACAGCACTTCACTACACAGCCATATACCACTTCACTATTACCACGTATAGACAATACGGAACGCAAGACAGTTTCTAGTGGAGCGGTCCTAAGCTTGGCTCGGCTCGAAGGCAAGTGTCCAGCCCTCTTAGCACCCCTCCCTTAGCTAGGCTCCGTCGTAGCACGAAGCTCGCCGAATGTTGGCGATAATACCGAAGGTGCTGCCATCACTCAGGCGTCGTGCCGCGCTTCGTTTAGCGACCGTATTGATGACCGTCTCCGACAGATATATAGTACTATAGATTCCTAATCAGATATTTTCCAAGTCGGTGTGCTTTAATTTTTGATTTCGAAAATATCTGATTAGGTATCTATAGTAAATAAATGACGAAGTTCTGAGGTAACAAACGTAAAATAAAAGACTCCTCCTTTTTGAAGTCGGTTGAAAATTCACAACGATCTGTAACTGCATACAAAAATTAAAAAACATATCTATTTTCGCATGAAGTAATTTTCGCAATTATTTTTTAAACGGTCTTAAAATTGAAATAGTCAAGGATTTTATAATGTAGTAATATAATTATTATTTGACCTCACTAACGACTTACCCTCGCTTCGCTCAGATGTGGTCCCTAAGTATGAAGAGTTTAGGAACGGATAAAATGCAAAAGTCCAAAGACATTTTTTTTACGCCAGGAACCTTTGCATGCGTATACAGAATAACCCACCAGAGTTTCATCACAAACGGATCAATCGTTTAGGAACGCATAGAGGACAAACATACGAACATTCATTTTTATTTATATAGATATATTATTATTGCAACTTAATATTTTCAACTTGAGACAGATTAATTTAGCATGTTTGAAAAAATGTTTATTTAATATAAATAAATAATTTAAAGCAGGGCATAATATTATTGTATAGGTATAATGCAAGCGGAGACAAAAAATTTTTTTCTTAAAACAACCTACTTAATTTACATAATAATCAGTGCTTATGAAAGATTAGATAGTAAAAACAATTTATAAAAACGTGATCAATGAAATGCCCTACATTAAATTTAAAACGTTGTGATTTATTTTTGTTTATAATTTTTTTTTTTTTTTTTTTCCATACAATCTTTGATTTAAAAAACAAAAAAATAATTTGTTCTAGAATTACAGAATCAATGCGGTTAGGAATTTTTATTTTACAAATTTTTACGTTTAGGAACATTAATCCATATCCATACTAATATTATAAATGTGAAAGTGTATTTGTTGTTTCTTTCACGTCGAAACGGAGTTACGGATTGGCGTGATTTTTTATGTAAAGATAGTTGGAGGGCCAGAGAGTGACAGGCTACTTTTTACCGCGGGAGATTTGTTGTGTTATTAGATGATATTTCCCACGGGAAAAAACGTTATAATACAATCCAAAAAAATATTTATGATCATAATTACTTGAAACTTGGTATTAATGCTCTTCAATAAAATTAAATAAATACAATAAATATTTGCATGTTTTAGAATTTTTTTGAAATTCATCCTATAATGGGTAAATAAGGGGATGAAAGTTTGTATGAAACTACCTTATTAGGGATTTTTGTAGTTTTAGCGCGAGCGAAGCCGCGGGTTCTGCTAGTACTACTATATATTTTTTCATTATTTCACTTAATGTATCCATTCAAAAGAGAGGGACAATATCTAAATAATACGTAAATGAACTGCGTATGTAATTGTAATAGTAAGAATTTAATCCAGAACTTGTAACTTATACAATTTTCTTACTTTACAAAATCAATTTTTTTGATTATCGCTAATAACTTTAACAAATAATATAAAAATTGCGTCCCTCGTCTAATTTGTTAAATCTTATCAGCATCCGAATGAGTAAAAGACGACGATAGATAAATGATATCGATGTTGAATAATGTTAAACTCGCAAAAATGATTTTATCAATAATGATTACCTAGATTGTGAAATAACATAAATAATTTAATTTACTGTAGGAGTAAAATTGCGAAAGTATATCCGCCAAGTTCCGTTAACTTTGATATATATTCAATACTAGCGACTCGCCGTCGCTTCGCTCGGGTTCGTCGGCGTCGGTAGCTTGATTTCCTATACAAACTTTCATCCCCGTTTTCACCCCCTTAAGGGATGATTTCCGGGATAAAAAGTATCCAATGTCCTTCCCAGGGTCTCAAACTATCTTCTTACCAAAATAAGTACTCTTAAATTTTATAATTTTTCGCGCAATTTTTTATTTTTTTTCTTTCATAAGAACCTTCTCCTGACAATAACAAACAACAAGAAAGATAGTTAAATCGGTCCAGCCGTTCACGCGTGATGGCGTGACCAAGGAAAATAGGGATTTATTTTTATACATATATATATAGAAGATAGAAGATTATAATCTTTCTGACATTAATATTAAGAAATGAGAAATAATTGAGTCAGTAAGTGTCACTACTTCAAAGCCGTAAAAGCTCATTAGGAAGGGATAGCCATATAGGATATTTTTTATCGATAATTTTCTCCGCGGTCAATCTCATTTTGACTCACTAATCATCAACGCATCACAAAACCACTGGACTGACTTTGATGAAATTTGGTATGATGACGACGGGTATACTCGTAGGATACTTTTTACTGCGAGAAAATATCTCATTTCTTACAAATCTATACTAACCATTAAAACGTAGCTAGTAAAGTAAATGAAATACGTATTTTTCGTTTGAAGTTAAGTAGCGAACGTTTGTACAACAGTTACATATATAAAGGACCACTCAATTCTAGAGTAACTAAGCGTTCCATTGCTACAAAGGGCACGTAAAACCGTCAAGTCTCAATTGTTATCTTTTTAGGACAATCCTAAATCCATGTAAGTTGCCCTTGGACGGCCTAACAAAATGATACTAGTTCATACTCATACAAAAACGGAAACAAAACACTCTGATTAGATAATTTAAATTTTTTATATTAAACATTTAAAATAACACTAAATTGCATTCCAGCTCCGTTACTAGAGATATTAAATGCGACATCGTTTATAGCGATGCGGTCAATCGCATCAAAGCTCGTCAGCGGAGAAGAATTTGGTAAGTAAAAATAATCTCGTATTATAAAATAACATTTTGTCCTTTCCTTGTTAGAATATGGAATGATTAAACCTTACAACTTATTAATATTATAAATATGTAACTCATTTTCATCCTTTATCCGCTGAACAGATTTCGATAAAATTTGGAAATTTCTTAAATTTCATCGTGGGAACGCACTTAGGCTACCTTTCATCCCAATCCCATTTACGATACGAGTATAAGCCGACCACTCCAGAGTGAAAACTGTTATTATTTAAAAAAATAATGTGTATTTTAAATTAAACCATAGTACCTGGGCCACCGAGCTTCGCTCGTAGTTTTTGGTCAAAAGTACAATTTTCTTTTTGTTTTCTTTTTAAATCTAAAAAATTGAATAAATACAAAAACAAACAAAAATAAATTATATCTTTGTATCCAACCGCGATTCGAACCCGGACACCTATGATTGTCAATCTAGCGCCTTGGCCGCTTGATCATGATGCTTATGCCCGTGCGTGCGCAATTATCGAACATATTTTGAGTGGAATAATACGAAAGAAAATCGCATGAAAATTCGAAAACACTCACAAGATTTAGTATTAAAATAGTCAGAAATATGTATTTCCAAATAACATTTGGCCATTATCTAAAAAAAATGCCATTTTTTTCTATGATTTGTTTTTCTTTTTTCATTTGGAAATAAGTGTTCTTTACATAAATTCTATAAATAAATTCTATTCATATAGGTTTGTTTTTCTCAAATTTTCAATAGTTATTTGTTATTATGGTCGCATTTCGACCACAAGGCGAACACAAATTAAACATGTATATATATTATCTAGTTCTATAACATCTTGGTTTCAGGTAAAGTGAACTCTCTCTTTGGATTAGCCGAAGCGATGACGCCGATAGTATACGGTCCGTTATACTCGCGAGTGTATGTGGCCACTTTGAATATTCTGCCTGGCGCAGTGTTCCTTCTCGGTGCACTCCTTACCGTACCAGCTGTAATTATATTTGGGTGAGATTATGAATATTTTTATATACACATTATCTATACTAATATTATAAAGAGGTAAAGTTTGTGAGTTTGTGTACATGGGTGTTTATATGTATAAAATGTATACTGAACCGATTAAAATAAAATTTGGTAAGAGGATAATTTGGGACCCTGGGAAGAACATAGGATACTTTTTATCCCAGAAGTCATGCCTTAAGGGGTTCAAAATGGGGATGAAATGTGTATGGGGAATTAAGCCAGGGACTAACCCGAGCAAAGCGAGGGTGAGTCGCCAGTCGTTTGTATATCGATAAAAAGAGAATTATGATGTAATTCAAAATATAAGGTATCTCTATTTCAAACTCATACTAAGAAATAATATAAACAAAGGGTTTTAAAACTAAACATGAACTCAAACAATAATATTTTAAAATAATATATGTATAATATTTCCAAACAATAAAGAAATATTAATAGAATACTCCTTACTGTTAAAAGTAATAAATAAAAATAGGTAACGGGTTTTATATTATAGTAAAGGTAAAAATAAACTCTCTTTCTCAAGGGGAAGAGAACTTGTGCTTTAAAATATAAAGAATACGAGTATAGTATTAGTTACTGTCCTATACCGCCTTTGAGATATCTAAAACCTTAATCTCTCCCGTGACCATGATTGCTGTAAAGCATTCGAAACGTCGGGAACCAAAAATGAAAATAAATCCGCGAAAAATCCGAAAAAATAGTCTTATTTAAAATGTCAAATATTCGCGTAAATCTAAGAAAGTAATAAATAAATAAATATGTTGAGACATTAACACACAGCACCATCTAGTTCCATGGTAAGCTACGAGGCTGGTGTTATGGATACCAGATAGTTGATACACTACACATATATAACTTTAAATACATACATATTATAAATATAAACAACCATGACTCGAGGATAAACATTCGTGCTCATCACACTAATAAATACCCCCAGCGGAAATCATTAAAGTCAAAAATAGTAGCTAAATTATGCTGTTTCTACTACTATTATCTTACCATACAGATCGTTTGCTTTATTATTTATTAGATGACACAGTTAGTTCAGTTTGAAGTGTACTTACTGTACCAGCGGTCGCGGCACCGCTGTGGTATCCATAACACAAGCCTCGTAGCTTACCATGGGACCCGATGGTGCTATGTGTTCATTTCCCAACATATTTATTTATTACTAGCTGCTCACCCTCGCTTCGCTCGAGTTCGCCTCTACGGAAACAAACAAAAACAAATCTGCGCCACGGGAACAGTACATTTTTCCGAGATAAAAAATAGCTTATTTATTATTCTGATGTATGAACTATATAATTGTAAACTTTCATTAAAATCCAATCAGTAGTTGTTGTGTACTAAACTGTATAAGTTACTATAGTTTTTTAACTAACCCACGGTAACTCTTTAATTTTCCAAGATGAAAAGTATTTAAAATGTTGACGGCGATATAAGGTACCACCATGCAAAATTTCATTTAAATCGTTTTAACACTTTCGGAGATTAGCCCGAACAAAGAGACAAATAGACAGAGAAACAAAAAAAATGAAATAAGTATGGATTTGTTCTATTTCTCTTCTTACATCCCTCTGACTCGAGTTTTAGCATTTTTTTCCTATGTACAGACACTGTACCTCTACAGTTTTATTATATGTATAGATTATTATTTATAAAAATTATTCAATTTCAGTAAGATTATGATTCATTAAGGGTGTTTTTACAGGTGGCTGTATTTCGAGCACAAAAAAGATAGATTGATGAAGGCAAATTCCACGATTGATGACAATGAAAAATCCTAGTCAAAGTAGCTGGGTGTTCGGTTTTTGAATAAAACCGAGATTCAAAGAACATTTTACGTCCAATTGAAGAGTAAAAAACGAGGAGTACTATGTAATATCTATGTCGGTCTTATAAATGTCTGTCTGTCTGTTATATTGTAACTTTCAAACGAATGGACTCATTTTGTACATATATGTAATTAATATTAATAATTTTAGTTGTTAACAAATAATTCGAAATCGGGTACCCAGATACATTTAAGGGCAAATAATAGTTTAAAATTAGTTATTTTTTTCTCTTTTATCATTTTCTTTTTTTTTAATGTACCTACGAACACTTTATTATATTTATATTAAAAAAATCTTTTTGTTTGTATATATAATATACAGTGAACACAATTCTACATAAAAGTACAATTTTAGCATCTAAATAACATTTCGTACCTTAATATTTTAAAATCGAAAGAAAGAAGAGAAATTATATATATATATATATATATATATATATATATATATATATATATATATAGTCACCATTAGCATATATATTCAATGAATTGTGTTACTTGATTGATGCACGTCCGACCTCGATGTTATAATAATTTTATATTAATTCCAGGCCATGTCGATAACTATAGTTTACATACTACCACTGTATACATTGATTTCTTGTTCAGGTACATATACGAGTATAACTTCGTGATGACTCTCTAAACATTTTTAAAAAAGGTCGCCTATTGACGTTCCTACACAGATAGGTGATGGGATGAAATCTAATTAGATGTTAGTTTCCTAGGAACGTGGATGCCATATTGACTGAACGCTTTACGCGTTGATACATTGGCGCTATCGCATCTCAGAGAGTATTGAATGTGAAAAAGGCGGCGGTAAAACAGCAAAATTTGAATTACTTAAATGTACCACTCTTGTTGAATTGTATGTATGTCTAGGCAAGTGCCAAAATCATCTTAAAATTCATTATACCTCATCTTATCACATTCACTGTGTAAGGATATAGCCGGCTCTCCCAAAAAATTGGCACACAGATATACCCAGGGACGAACCCGAGCGAAGCGAGGTAGAGCCACTAGTATCAAATAAAAACAAATACTTATCACTTCAGCTAAGAGTTGTATATTTACAATCGTATTTATTTCTCATTTCTGTATCTTTTACGGAAAAAACAGTGACATTGTATTGTACAATACAATCTTTTAAAATAAACAAACGTCATTTGCTATATTTATATTATAATCTTAGCATCACATACAAATATTTATAATACTTCAGTAGCTTATACACATATATTATTCGTATTTATATTATAGCCGATAAAAAAGTTAAAATTATATATTAACTAGCAGAACCCGCGGCTACGCTCGCGCTAAAACTATAAAATAAACTCTAAAAACTTATGGGGTGGATTTCGAAAAATGCTAAAACAAGTATTTATTTAATTGTATTGAAAAGCGTTAATACTAAGTTTCAAGTAGTTCTGATCATAAATAATTTTTGGGTTGTATTATAACGTGTTTTCCCATGGGAAGGAGATTATTTCCCGCAGTAAAAAGCCTATAATCTAGCCTATAGTAAGTAGCCTATGTCACTCTCCAGTCCTCTATCTCCACACAAAAAATCACGCTAATCAGTCACTCTGTTTTGACGTGAAAGAAGGACAAACAAACACACAAACAAACAAACAAACAAACAAACAAACAAACAAACACACTTTGACATTTATAATATTAGTATAGATGTAATTAATCAAGCCTTGGGTTTTGTATGTAACTATTTTATAGAGCGGAATACGCAAGTAGAACCATTGGCATGAGCTAAGTCCATTCACGTTTTTTCTATTACAATTTTATTATGTGATTTTAATATAGTTCAGCCCTCTTCACTATCCCACAACTGAGCATAGATTACAATACGAGGGGGATCAGGACATAGTCCACCACGCTGGCCAAGTACGAGTTGACAGACTACATGTCTTTCAAAAACTTGCTAAGTTCTCTAAGACATGCAGGTTTCCTCTCAATGTTTTCCTTCACCGTAAGACATGTGGTAATCACGCTGTAAATGATTCACACATAAAAATATCAGAGGTGCGAGACCCTGTATTTGAACCCGTTTCACTCAGTTTTCCAAGCGAGCGCATTACCACTGGACTACAACTGCCTGTTATATATTATTTTTAACATATAAACAATACTAAAGTCATAATTCTAAAAGGAGTTTCGTTATAGCTAAAATCTGTACAGTGTATACATACATTTTGGCTGCACTCATAAAAATCAATATTATATATGTACGTATGTATGAAGACTTATAAATGTATTTTTATTTCAGAATTTATATTTCATTCTGTATAATATAATTATATTAGCATAGCTTAATTATTATGCCTCCATGCGCTCTGTAGAGGTTGTTAGCTCAAGGCTTATTGACACGTCTGGTAACAATGTTTGTCGTAAAATACAATATATTTTAGACTAGATACGGCCTGTGGCTTTGCTCAACCGTAAAAAAAACGACTTGTATCAACAATAAAAAAAATCGTAGATAATTTAGTTCTCTTACTTTCTTTTTAAAATTAATTATGAATTTTAATAACATAAATCAAATATAGCGAAATTAAATCAGAATTTAGTTTTTTCAGCTAAACTTTTACAAGCACTTTTGAATCGTCAACTTAATTTAACGAGAATAAGTTTAATCTGTCTGTGAGAAAGATACTATCGAGATCCTGTAATAAATGCTATGTCATTTAATAAAAATTGTGCATAGTTTTCGCTAAATATTATTACTAGCGACTCACCCTCGCTTCGCTCGGGTTCGTCCCTAGGTTGATTCCCCATTTTCACCCCCATAAGGGATGATTTCCAGAATAAAAATATTCCTATGTCCTTTCCACGGTCCCAAACTATCTTCTTACCAAATTTCATTTAAATCGATTCTATGGATCCAGAGATTACCTACCCCCTACAACGTCACAAACTCACAATTCACAAACTCGCAAACTTTACCTGCTTATAAAATTAGTATAGACATATGGACACTACACTAATTTATACGATTATATGCCATATAATAAATTACTTACTAATCCATATTGCATTCTATACTACTAATACTCATTTATTTAATTAAGTTAATACTCGTAGTTCTGCGAACAGTAGACCTCGCGAGCACAAACTTTTACAACAATTATTATAGGACTAAATAAAAGTTATGTGAGCATTTTTCTGCATTTTGGGGAGATATTCTGCTCATCACACCGAAGGCCCTTATCAGATCTTCACCAAATTTTTATGAGACCAACTTAAAGTTACTGCATTTCAAAAAAAATAAACACAAAGAACCATCGAAACCGGATCTTATAAGATGGAGATAACTAGTAGCTCCCTTTTTGTCCCTGTTTGGAGGAAATATGTCTCCAATCAAAATCCCCCGCTGAAATAAATTTTTAAACCTGTATGCCAAGTTTCGTCCAGATCGGTTGTAAAATACGACCTATAGAGGAGTACCAACAAACTGACAGAGGAATGCAAATTTTGCCAAACTTGAAGCAGATATGATTCGCTCATATCACTCGCTCGGATAGTTGACCGTAGATAAAATTCGATCATAATATTTTTTATTGATAGCACTAGAAGTCGTCAATACCTAGTAAACAAAAAAAAGAAAATAAGTTGACAAACAGAGGAGAAAAAGGTACTGCACTATTTTGTCTTTACCTATATAAAAAAACTAGTCATTTTTATATATATTTTCATTGATAACACTAAATCTTGTCAAACATGCTCGTCAATGGAAAATGAAAATTAAGATGAAGCATTTCGTCATCTGCTAATAACTTGTTCTGATTTACTCATCAACGTAGAGACCAATTTGTTTGACCTGAAAGGATGAAATGCCTAGAATAAATGAAAACTAGATGATTTTCTATGTTGATAAACCTGGCAGATAAAAGGGCTTTACTAAAGGCGCAGATTATACACACTCAAAACTTCATGCCAAGCACTACGATCTCCACTAATCTTCTAATCTACTAATCAAAACTTTTAACTAGAGCTTAATTTCTGTAAGTAATAATTGACAGACAGACAAAATTTAAATAATATTTCTTATATTAGGCTACGTCAGGTTTTGATATATTCCCCCCCAACGTGCGTTCACCTTGTCGTGGTGGGGGGGCTCAGTAGTGCCCGGCAACCCAACCGGGCGCGAAGCCAAGAAACGCACAGGGAGGTGGCCCTCTTCGGAGGTGTACCATGCGGGTTGCTCCTGGTACTTCTCTGATAGCAGAGTGGACTGTGGAGCAACCCCGTGGTTGTTGTGGTCTGCTTCGGCAGACCTGCCGTCGGGACGTCGTAGTTGAATGCGTAAGCGATCCTGCGTCGCCCCATTAAGACGGAGGAAGGTTTTGTTGGGTTTTAGTGGGTAGTACTGGCTTTGCCGGTGAGTCCCACGCCTCGTGCGTAAATGCATTTTCCAACGTAAAAAAAAAAAAAGGTTTTGATAAATTAGTTTGTTGAATCTACTTGTATATTTTTACAAACTACGCGCATATAGTTTATTTAAATAGATCTCTTCTTTTATATTCAAACAATGTAGATTTGTTTGTTTAATAAACGAAAAAAATATCGATGCTTAATAACTATACATAAAATAACTACAAAACCTATTGTAAAACAATTTATTATATCTAATCATTCATCCAAAATATTTACTCTAGTACACACTCTTTTACACAATTTAAACAAGCAGTAATAAATTTCACAAAATCATCTTGTAATAAAATTCAATTCAATTCTTTTATTTATGTATTTTAAGCTTTTATTTGTACTAACTTATATATGTTTGTATATAAGTTACTACGCTCGAGTCCGAGTTAGATCAAAACATTTAGATCAAAACAAACAACAATTTTCTTTGGAAAACATCTTAGTAACCCACCAAATGACAGCATTTTGAAAAGCTGTCAGTTAAGTGCCTAAACTCCCTCTGCCTTATCT